GAAAAATAGAAAAACAACAATTGCATGAAATATGATTTTATAAACCAAATAAATTAGAATTTATTTTAAAGAAAGCCAAAAACTGGGGAAAAATTAGGCCCCACACATATTGAGGGTATTATAGTCTTTTTACATGTCAAAGGAGGTGTAATGGTCTTATGGACATAACTCAGGGGATAATTGTCCTTCCATAAAACTTGGGGGGTTTTAAGGATTGGGACAAAACTCAGAGGGGTAATTGTCCTTATCCAAAAAAATATAGGGGGTTTGAAAAGTCTTTGAGACTGATTAGCAAAGTCATAAGCACCAAGATAAAAACAACATAAAATTTCTATTACTAAAAAACACAACATACGCTAAGACACGCACTTTTTGTGGGAGATTACACATTAACTGTGTGCGATCGTTCGACGATTTCTAGCCGCGATCTACTTAGCTCGCCGGTACCTCTGTGTATTAGCCATGGCAAGGCCGGCTAGGGGAGAAAGGTTGTGGTGAAATCACCCCAGAAGGAGGCCAGAGTTGAGGGAAGCGACGGGGAACGAGAAAATGGGAGTTGTTCGCAGAATCCAGATTTGATTACTTTGGAAGCAGACACTCAAATTCCGGTAAGAAGTCCTTCTCCTCTTGTTGAGAATTGTGTGAATTCTGTCTTAGAGAAGCTTTGCAACCAGAAAATTAGATCGGATTCAGTAAGGGTTGAGAATAAGCATGAGTTAGGGCAGAATAAGACGAACCAGAATTGGGACAATTTTAATGTTGATAAGGTTAGGGTTGCTCTAGTAAATCTTGAATATATTCACCCTCGGGTGGTAGTAGAGAAGAAGATTGGAAAAATTAGGAAGGAGGATGTTGATTGCGAGATGATTACTGGAAAACTTCTTGCCTGTGTTATGTTTTGGGTAGTCACCCCCCCTTTAGGATCATGAATGCGTACATTAGAAGATCTTGGGTTAGATTTGGGGTAGACAAGGTTTTGCTCATGGCGAATGGTATCTTTGTGGTTCGGTTTAAAACCATAGAGGGTAAGAATGCTGTTATGAGCCAGCCATATCATTATTTTGATGCTAAACCAGTACTTGTGAAGAACTGGCATGTTGAAGAAGATATTAAGCTGGAGGAAGTAATTAAGATCCCAATTTGGAAAAAGTTCCCTAACCTTCAGCTTAAGTACTAGAATCCACGTTCACTCAGCAAGATTGCTAGTGCAGCGGGAAAACCAATCAAAATGGATGACATGAAGGCCAACAAGCTTAAGGTTGACTATGCAAGGCTCTTGGTCGAAATAGAAATTTCTGGAGTCTACCGGATACTCTGTGGTTTGAAAATGATACCTTAGTTGAGCAGAAAATAGAGTATGAGTGGAAGCCAATAAGATGTCGAGTATGCTAAGGTTATGGTCATGAATCACCACATTGTAGAACTAAGAAGCCACATGAAAGGAAGGCCAAAGATGTTCCTCAACAAAATGATCACCTAGTGGCAATGAAGCAGCCTGTAGTGCTAGATGGTAGTCGAAAACAGAAGCATGTGGTGAACCAAACAGACGGGTCCAAACCCTCCTATAGCGGTAATCCAGTGAAGGATTATCGAATTTGGGTGAGCAAGGAAGTTGAGGGAAGTAGCATGCAGGGGTTTACCCCCCATGAATAATCTCCTCATGTAGAATACGAAGGACTACATAGTCCCCTTAAGCACAGAGAACTCAGAAGCTTAATCTCTGTGCAACATATAAGTATCATGGGGTTAGTTGAAGTAAAACTTAGGAATGAGACACTGGTTGAGGTAATGAATAAGTGGGGATCAGATTATGACTGCATGGGGAATAGGACTAATGATGAAAGACATCGCATCTTAGTAGTATGGAAGAAAGAAGATATAAAGGTGGCTATAGTGAATAAAGGGAAACGATTTATACACTGTTTGGTGGATGATCACATCAATATAAGGAACTTTGCTCTCACAATAGTATATGGTGAATACAAGGAATGAACTAATGCAATTATGGGATGATATAGCTGCAATAGTCAGACTATCAGCTTGCCATGGAGTATGGCTGGAGACTTCAACAGTATCATTAGTCAGGAAGAAAAGGTTAGGGGTCTGCCAATTACAACTAATGAGATAGGGGACTTCAAAATGCTAATATAGGAGTGTCAATTGTTATCCCTTACTATAGTGGGTGGTACTTATACCTGGAATAATCAGCAAATAGGGATAACAGAATTTGTGCAAGACTCGACTGGGTCTTAGTAAATGAATTATGGTTAATGGAGTATGATGAAAGCTTAGTATTTGTGCTTCCAGAGGGACTATCAGATCACTGCCCATTGGTCACCAAATAGAGTACTCAGCAAATTCACATAAGAAGGAATTTCAGATTTTTTAATATATGGACCACATCAGAGGAGTATTAGCATATAGTACAGACAGTATGGCAGTGTAATGTTCAAGGTAGTCAGCAATTCTAATTGGTGCAAAAGCAGAAAAAGTTGAAATCGGTGTTGAAGGATTTGAACAGAAGACTATTTGCAGAAATTGATATTCAGGTTTAACTCAGGAAACAGCAATTGGAATAAGTTCAAAGAGAGTTGCAATCTCAACCTTTAGATGCCCAGGAAATCAGTCAGAAAGGAGGTCTGTGATCAAGGACTGCGATTGAGTCTGGAACAACAAGTTGAGATGACTAGGGACATAAAAGATAAAGAGATAAAGAAGGCCATGTTTTCTAAAGACGATTCTAAGAGCCCTGACCCTGATGGGTTTTTAGCAGTGGCTTCTATAAGAAAACTTGGAGCATTATTGGGGCTAGTGTGTGTGGAGTTGTGAAGGAGTTTTTTAGGAATGGTCAACTTCTGAAACAACTCAATGCTACTATGATTGCCCTAATCCCAAAGAAAGAGACTCCTCAAACTGTGGCGGAATGCAGACCTATTTCCTGCTGTAATACACTGTATAACTGTATTACCAAGACCTTAAGTACAAGAATGGCTGAGAGCTTAACTCATTTGGTGGATAAAAACCAAGGAGCCTTTATTCGGGATTGCCTGATAGTTCACAACATTCTCCTAACCCATGAAATGTTGCAATTGTATAATAAGAAGAATGTATCACCTAGATGCTTAATGAAGGTGGACCTTCAAAAAGCTTATGATTTAATAGCTTGGGAGTTTATAGAAGAGGTGTTGGCAGTATACAGATTTCTGGGGAAGTTCATTGGCTGGATAAAGGAGTGTATTACAACCTGTAGCTATACCTTAAGCATGAATGGTGGTTTGCATGATTTTTTCACAAGACAAAGAGGAATCAGGCAGGGTGACCCTATGCCCCCACTTCTTTTTGTGATGTACATGGAGTATCTGACCAGACTGTTCAAAATTGAGGTTGCAAAAGGGGGGTTCCATTACCACCCTAAGTATAAAAGGGTACAACTCACAAACCTTACTTTCGCAGATGATCTAATTATCCTTTGTAGAGCTGACAAGGAAACAATTAGTAGAGTTAAAAGGTGTGTTAGAGGAATTCACAGAAACTACAGGGCTGAGAGCAAATTTGAGTAAATCGCAGGTTTACTATGGTGGTGGGGAGAGTAGTATGAAGAAAGAGATACAGAATATCACAGGTTTCAGTATGGGTAGCTTCCCAATGAAATATCTGGGAGTCCCTTTCTCTCCCAACAAGTGGTCTGAACTTGACTGTCAGGTGATGGTGGACAAAGTCACAGCCAGGATAAAATGCTAGTCGTCCAGACACATTTCCTATGCTGGGAGGGTTGTCTTGATCAACCCAGTATTGTTATCTTTGCATACATACAGGGCCAACATTTTCATGTTGCCGAAGAAAACAATAACCCAAGTAGTTAGGGTTTGTAGAGAATTTCTCTAGGGTACGAAGACTAATGGAAGAGCTTATTCACTAGTGGCTTGGGATGAAGTGTGTAAACTCAAGAAGTTTGGAGGCTTGAATATTAAAGAACCACTCACATGGAACCAAGCAGCATTGGGAAAACAGATTTGGGACCTTGCCACTAAAAAAGACAATCTGTGGATGAAATGGTGTCATGAGTACTATTTCGAAGGTCAGAATATCTTGGATTATCAACCACCAAAAGGAGTTTGCTAGCATTGGCAGAAACTTATGAAGATTAAAGAGATATTGCACTCTGGCTTCTGTCAAGGTAAGTGGTTGGCTGATAAAAAGGGATGTTACTCTACCAAATCAGGATATGCATGATTGAGAGGAGACGATCACAGAATGAAAGAGGCTGTTGTGGTTTGGAATAGACTTAATACTCCTAACACAGTTTTATTCTCTGGTTGGTAGTTAAGAGGAGATTGTTAACATCTGACGGACTTTTAAAACTGGGTATCATTGATAATCCTGTGACACGTTGTCTGTGCAATATAGAGGAAGAGAGCTTGGATCATTTGTTGTTTAAGTGTAACTATTCTAAGCAGGTGCTGGCTTAGGTGACAGAGTGGTTAGAATGCAGTAGAGTTCCTGATCAAATTGGTTTATTGAAGTATAGACTGTAGAAAATCTGGTTTCACAACAAGGGAAAGAAAATGTTGTTATATGGTGCATTAGCGGCTGTTGTCTATCACTTATGGCAAATGAGGAATGAGGTGCAACATGGGCAAGATTGCAGGCCAGTCAGTATTATTGTGAATGAGATCAAACAGGAATTGAGATGGTGCCTAAAAATGTGTCGAAGGAAATTAACATAAAAAGACGGGAATTATTTTGATAGAATAGGAGTATAAACTTAGTTGGTGATTGTTGATGTAATAGTATGGTTAGAAATGCAAGTGTAAATGGTGGGACTACTTAATTGTTTTGAGAAGTTAATACACATTAACCTTTTTTCATAAAAAAATAAAATAAAAACAGCATCATCATGCCACGCGGCCGGAAAGCAGAGGACATCTGGACGTGGAGCCCACCCAAAGATATATAACGCTTGATCCCATCATTATTTTTTTCTCTCTTTTTCCAACCCTATCCTGTGAGTCTTGATCTACTCCTCCTTCTCGCTCTTTCCAAATCTCCCATCACTTCCTTCTCTAACATTATTCTTTTTTTCTTTTAATTTTATTTTTATCTCTTTTTTTCTTCTCTCTCTCTCTCTCTTCACATCCAGTACCGCGAATCCAAATTTCAGTTTCGTTCGTTGCCGCTCTCTTCTCGTTATTGTTTAAAGAAGATTAAAAGAAAAATTAGAAAAGGATTTCGAAACCCTAGGGCATAAATCTTTCTTCCTCCCCACGTGTATTGGGACTAAATCTCAGATCTATATTTTGTATTTTGTCTATATTTATTAGGACTAGTAGTAGTTTTCTTGTTTTTTTTTTTTCTTGGGGAATTTTGATAGTTCGTCAGATCTCTAGAAGTGTTGCTGTCTGATTTCTTCGAGCTTAAGGATTGGTTTATGGAGTTTTGAATCGAGAAAAGGTAGGTTTGTTTTAATATGATTTTCCGTAATTTCATGTGCTAATATTCAATTTGAAGTCCTCCTTCTCCTGATTTTCTTTAAACGATTAGCTTTGTATAATTGGAGGTTTTCTTGAATGTAGCTAATTGTCTGCATGTTTATAGTGTTGTTATCGGAGTTCAGTAAAAAAATCAATATCAAAAGTTATTTTTGGGATAAAAAAAGCTGTTTATTGTTGATGCATGTATTTATTTATTTTTTTAATTTCGTTAGTTTGATTGCAGTTGGATGCTTCTGTTTTTAGCTCCACTATTGTTATTGTATTCGGATGGGGAATGGTGAAGAAGTCTGTTTGGAGGTGATGAGCGATGGGATGATGGAAACGGAGAATTCAGCTAGGGCTGACTTGAAGCGTAATTGTGAATGGGTGGATGTTGATGGGGAAACAGAGACGCGTGCGAAAAAATATGCTAAAGAAGCTCCTAATGATACTGAAATCACAACTTGTGCAGATACTGCAAGTCCTGCTAAAGAAGGCTTAGATAGTTTCGATTTAGATAGAAACTCACATGCATCAGAACCTTGTTTGGAAAGTAATATCCAGGATATTCATAAGGATCCTCAATTGGAAAGTTCTGGTGAGTATTCGGCTGAGCATGTTGTATGCGGCAATGATTTAAAGCGCTCTCCCAAACAAGCTGCCAGGGAGGCTTGTATTAATGATACACCGCAAAGCTATCCATCTAGGACCAATGAAGATGGCAATTTAGCTGTAAGCACTAACAAACCTTTGAAGGACGTCTCAGATGATAATGAGTTGGAGAATAGGGTAAAGGAAGCTTCCAATGAAGATATATTTTCAGAAGTCTCAAATCCAAATTTGTCTCCTGGAGATGTTACTTCTAGTTTAGGCGAGGTTGGTAGCCATGCGAAAGAGCCTGTCAGCAGCAATGTACATGGTGGTTGTGCGGAGGTCTCGTCGGTTTGTGGTGGAAATTCAAGCTCTGATGACAGTTTGAGTGAGCGGGATCATAGTGGAAATGAAGCCTCTGGTGAGGTTTCCACATCTCGCGTTGTACTCGAAATCCCTGAACATGTGAGCACAACTGGCATCAGGAAGATAACATTCAAGTTCAGCAAACCAAAGGTTTATGAGAATGTGTCATCTCTTTCGTCTGCTCGGCCTATACATGGTGATTATGGTGATGGTTCCTACAATATGGAAGCATGGAGTACCTCGTTCGCTGATGACGTAAAAAAGGATGTGTATCTGGACAAGTATGGGAGTTTGTTTCAAGAAACAAGGGCTCCCTTATCGAGTACACACCGGGAGTTAAAAATGTCCAAGAAGGTTCTCGCTGAGAACTATCCTGCTAATGTGAAGAAACTTTTGTCTACTGGAATTTTAGAAGGAGCTCGGGTAAAGTACATTTCCGTAAATCGTGAGGTAAGTAGCTTTATATTTCATTTCTCTTTTTTCCTTTTCTGGACTAACATTTATTAATGATTCTTCTTCCTTATTATACGCCTTCCTAATTTCTTATCAATTTTTTGTCAGACCGAACTCTCTGGAATAATCTGGGGCGAGGGTTATCTATGCAGCTGTTCTTCATGCAACTTTTCTCGAGTGAGTTTTCTTTTTGTGACTGCTCCTTTTCTTTTTTTTTTTGGGTTGTGGTACACTATTTCATCACTGTTGACGGAGACTTCTGTGGTCACCAGGTTTTAAGTGCATACGAGTTTGAGCTGCATGCAGGTGTGAAAACCAGGCACCCAAACAACCACATTTACTTAGAGAATGGGAAACCTGTTTACAGTATAATCCAGGGATTGAAGTCTGCACCACTTAGCATGATAGACGAAGTGATTAAAGAAGCTGCCGGTTCCTCCATTAATATGGAGAAGTTCCAACTTTGGAAAGGTGATTAATTCTCTTAGATTTATCTGGCTTTTTTCCTGTAATATTTAATGCTGTTATTTTTCACTGAAGTCAGTGGAGGGACTGATGTTTTCTACTTTCCTCTGGCTCAAGTTTTCTTCCCGTGTGAATTAAGAATAGTGAATTTGCTAGTTTTATGCAAGAGAAACATTCTTGCATGTTCCGCTTTTCTATTTGAATTGAAGTCAGCAAGTATTTAGGTACATTTTCTGATAGATTAAATTTGCATGTTGATTTTGTGTGGATGGGATTGAATGATGATTGGTTTGCCTACTCTTGCTTGTGTTTTATGATTGACAAAAATCGGCAAATGGTTGTTTATTTCTTTGTCTGTTTTTAAACATTTGCAGCCAGTCTTCAACAGAGCGATTTAGTTGACAATGGTGACCCTGTCTGTCAGACCTCTATGTTTTACCCATCTGATATAAGGTACAGTACTTTATATTGTGCAATATCTTCCCCCTCTCTCCTGGAGGGTTGTACTCCCCTAGCTGATTCTATTCTCTGCACCTGCAGTTATCCCGGCCAAACCAGGAAAGATGTACTGGTGCCTCCTAGTTTCTGTGCTGTAAACAATCGGATGTACCAGGACAGTGGTAAAATGGTGGGAGAACAACGGAAACGCGTGGTGAAAAAGTTAGTTTCACTCTCTTGTCTAGCTAGGGGGAATATATCTTATCATTAATTATTATTTTCAAACATTTTCTTTGTTTATGAATCGATCCTTGGTTTACAGGCCAGGATGGTTACTTTCTAGCTCAGAATCAGATGTCGAGCTGGAGAAATGTAGTGAAGGCGGGACAAAAAAGAGGTACAGTCTCGCCTTTTTTAACTCTGATCACTTAAAATAATAGCTCATCATTTCCCGAGATATGTTTCTTATTGTCTTTTTTTCTTTAATTGAGAGTTTGAAATTTAAATTCTTTTTGACAGGGACAATGACCTGCATAGGCTGCTTTTCTTGCCGAATGGAATTCCAGATGGGACTGATTTAGCTTATTATTCAAAGGGAAAGGTTGTTCATTCTGTTAACTGCTTGCATTTCGTTCTAGTATATTTCTCTATCCTATTTTGGGTTTTGTTCTTAGTCGTCTTTTACTTGCAGAAAATTCTTGGGGGCTACAAGCAAGGCAATGGGATAGTCTGCAGTTGTTGTCATACCGAAGTGAGTGCGCTTAAGCTTTACCGTTCTGCTGTTTAGTTTAATTTTTTAGTGCTTGAGTTTGTCTACCTTTCAAATGGAAACTACAAGGATGTGCCCTTGGTCTTTCACTTTCTCTTGGTCTTGAGCATTATATTCCAAATCTATACTTTCTTTTTTTCTCGATTTCTCTTGCTCATATGCTTGTTTATGTACCAGATCAGTCCATCACAGTTTGAGTCTCATGCTGGCTGGGCAGCAAAACGTCAACCGTAAGTTTCTTGTAAAGAAATATGACTTTAACTAAATTGGGTTTAATGATCAATTAACGTAATCATACGTTCATCTGCAGTTATCGCAATATCTACACTTCAAGTGGTCTGACGCTCCATGATATAGCTCTTATGTTGGCAAATGGGCGAAATATTGCCAACAGTAACAGCGACGATATGTGTGCTGTATGTGGAGATGCGGGAGATCTTTCATTATGTAGTGGGTGTCCACGGGCTTTTCATGCAGGTCAGTATTTATGTGAATGCATTTTTTTACTATGTATATATGATATGTGAGTCATTGCACCTTTCATTTAGAGTCTTATTTTTTTTTGTGGTGATTTGAAGCCATGATGCCTTGATTTAATTAATATTCTGCTTGTTTTTCTAAAAGTTATCTGATTCTAGAGCTAATTAATCTGGTGAATAAGTTGAATTTTCTGCATTGGGCAGTGTGTATTGTAACATGCTTTTTATTAGATAATATTAATTTAGGTGACTCGGGCACCCATAATTGTATCTAATGCTACTAAATTAGGTGTATACACGATCACCTTTTTATCCATTATTTATTTTTTGGGGGGGGGGGTATATTTTGCATGTTTCTTGATTAGGTTAGTATATCTGTAATATTTATAGAATGTTTTCTTGCCGTTTACATCTTGTGGTCTTTTTGGTTTGACTAACACGTGGATTGTCTGCAGCTTGTTTGGGCTTGCAATCTCGCCCTCCCAATGGTTGGCATTGTTTGTATTGTTCAGACAAATCTGCCCCTGTTAAAAGAGGTCCTGGAAGACCACCTTCACGCCAAACCAGGGTAGTGAAAGCACCACAATTTGTTGGTGGTGGATGTGTTGTCTGCAGGTATGGAAAGTACTCTCATTTTTCAGATGGTTTCTTGAATGTATCTTTTATTTGTTACTGTCAGCCTTAATTTTGGCGTAATTTTGCCCTGACACTGCTCAAGAAATCATTTTCCAAACACATGAATGTTCACAATTCTTAATTATGAAGCACAAGTTGCCAGTTTTGTTGCTATTTATTATTTTTGGCCAGCCATGGGGGGGTGCATGATTGAAGTCACACAGCTCTGTTATTAACTCTATATATAGTATCTATGTTTTCTAAATTGGCCCACATGCATAGTTATGAGTAAGGATACTAATGCTATTTCACTGGAGAGTTCTTTAGGACAAAAAAAGAAGGGGCGGAAAAGTTGATTATGTTTTTGGGGTGAATTGAGTAGAACTTTATCCTTTTTTTTGTGCCTAGCCTTCTTTACATAATCTTCATTTGCTCTGTCACATTACAGGGCAGCCGACTTTAGTGTTGCTAAATTCGATGACCGAACCGTTATACTGTGTGACCAGGTACTTATCGAATAGTTTCCATTCCTTTTTGCATCCTTCTCTTCTTTGCCGGACACTTCTTTCTTATTTTGTTCCTCATTAAATACCCTCCAAATTGTTGTTTAGTGCGAGAAGGAATACCATGTTGGTTGCTTAAGAGATAGAGGACTCTGTGATCTGAAGGTAATTATAGGTTTTCGAATATGTTTGAAGTTCTGAAGTTTTTTGTTTTCTGCCATTGACGTGTTACAATTCTTGATCAGGAACTGCCTAGGGATAAATGGTTTTGTTGCAATGACTGCAACATGGTCTATACATCTCTTCGGAATTTTGTTCAGAATGGGGCACAGTTGGTTGCCTCCGAAGTGTGTGCAGCAATTATAAGAAAACATGAAGAGAAAGGCATTATGGATGTAGGTGTTTCTGATGTTAAGTGGAGACTTTTAAGTGGTAAAAGCCGCTACCCAGAACATCTACCTTTGCTTTCCCGAGCCTCGGCTATCTTCCGGGTAAGTTTCACCTCTTTCCATGTTACATACTCCTGTTATGTAGTGCTTTATCTGATACTCGTGCATATGACCTCTGATACTTAGTTTTACCTGTGAATTGTACTGGTTGCATCTGAGACGCCCAAAAATTATTCAACTTGGTGGGCTTTGATGATCTATTTGCTTCTAGCTTGAAATAAAGTAAACTTGTGTGCGTCCTGTGTTGATTTGGGATTTTAGCCTCTTTCAAATAATTGTTAATTTGAGCAGCTTATCAATTGGTCGCTATATTTTTTTTTTCGTTTTTAACTTTTGGGCCTTATATGCCAATTATTTCCTTGGATTTGTTTACACGACATTATTATGTATAATTGCGATTAAAAGCATATTTTTTGCTTTTGCTAGGTCAACCTTTCATCCTGTACCTATTTTGTTGACATGTTTCAAGTTGGTGTTAAGCTTGATTGTTTGCTCTTCTGCAGGAATGCTTTGATCCCATTGTTGCCCCATCCGGTCGAGATCTGATACCGATTATGGTTTACGGGTGAGTTTTTCTATTTGTTGCATTTTTAACTTGAGCCTGGCAAAATCCTGTTTACTTCAACCTAGAGACATTTATCATAGTCATTTTTTGGTGGACGCAATAGATAGTTCTAAATCTAGGTGCAGTTAGTTTGTAGTACAAGTATGATGGTGGTATTGAATGTGAGGACCAGTAATGCATCTAGTAGTTGCTGTTTTCAATAGTAGTTGCTTTTATAATTGTTAACAGATTGCATGAATTATAAGAAGCCAAGACCAACTAGTTCTTTTATTGTGGGTTAATGTCTTGTTAGCAAAAGACAATCGATGTAGTTGTATTGTGTTTCGAATTCCCCGTTTAGCTAATTATGCAAGTGGTTCTGTAAGTGTTTCTGGTTATGGTTGATTTCTTGAGTAAAATGTTAAACAGTGTCATTTTGTTTTTTGTGCAGGAGAAATATATCAGGCCAAGAATTTGGTGGAATGTACTGTATTGTTTTGATAGTGAAGTAAGTTTTTAAGGGGCTTTAAAAGTACTCTTTGCATAAAAAATGTTTCCTTTATGTTATTAGACTGAGCAAATGTTTGCATAAAAAATCCACAGGTCTGTTGTAGTTTCAGCTGCTCTTGTGAGGATATTTGGAAAAGAGGTTGCTGAGCTCCCGTTGGTGGCTACAAGTCGAGATAACCAAGGAAAGGTAAAACTTTTAAACTGCAATGAGGGAACTAATGAATTGTAACTTTATGGGTCTTGGAATTATTTTCTTGCATTAAGAAACTACTACTTGGCCACTTTTGATTTTTCGGGTTTTTGACCAACAATTGAAGAGCTAATGGACTTTTTGCGAAATATGGTTCCTCCCTGTAGGGTTACTTCCTGGCATTATTTTCTTGTATTGAGAGATTATTGGGCTCAATGGATGTGAAAAACCTGGTGTTACCCGCTGCTGAAGAAGCAGAATCCATTTGGACTAAAAGATTGGGCTTCAGAAAGATGAGTAATGCCCGGGTAAGTGTGTTGATGTTTATGAGTACTTAAATATGTTCTGCATTTGACAAAGGGCTGAAAAGCGGGAAAGGATATTGATAGAACATGCAAAATGCCGGAATTAAGTAACGGGAAACAAGGGATAATGCATTTCTGGAAACAGAATAAAAGTGTTTTGAGAGGACATTTAACATGTTTACTGCTGTGGAATTTCTGAATTGATTTCGTTTGTTTTAGCTTTGTGTATAATTCTCCTGCTCTGTGAATCAGGTTTCTAAGTATAACAAGGAACTCCAATTCACTGTTTTCAAGGGGACAACTATGTTGGAAAAGGAGGTTCAATGGAATGGGCAAATAGCGTAGCGTGTTTCTCTGGGCATGTAAAGCTTGGACAAACTATCTTTTCCTATCTTTTTGACTATTGCTTTGAAGCTGCTCACGGATTCAATTGATATATCTAATGAACTGCAACAAAATGTTGGTGAGAACATGTTTGGCATGATTCATCCTGTATGCCGCATGCAAGCCTGCATGAGTGCCCGAGAGACGATGATTATAGGGGCAAAGATGATTATTACAGGGGCAGAGGTCCAATATGGAGGCAAACTGCAAGGATATTTCAAATGGATATCTAATGGTTATTAATTTTTGTAGTTTGGTTGGAGGCTTTAGTTATAGAAATTTTCAGTGATGTACTGCTCTGGAAGTTGCCTTTCTTGATTGTAAATTTGCAGCTTTTCTGCCATCTGCCAGCCTTAGATTTGGCTTGTGGAAAGAGGCGGCAAAGGGGAAGGGGGATAACCTTGAGAAATTTTAGGGCGTGCTGACCTTTTATTATGCATGCCCCTCTTCCTTTCTAATTTTTGCAGTTAGTTAAATACTACCATTTCAATGATCTTATACATGTACATAATATACTAGTTGTAGATAGGGTTTGCGACTTGTATTTCTCCAAGTACCAGCCATAGAATGAGTTTCCCCAACAATAACATAACATATAATTGCAGAATGTTTTTGTGGTTTGGTTGCTTATGTTATGCTTAACTACGGTTTGCTATCTTTTCTTATGAGTAATTTTGGTGTCAAATTTGGGTGTTTGGTAGAAAAAAAAAAGTAAAAGGTGCTTAAGAAAATAATACTAGAAGGTAGCTACTAGAACTTATTGTTGGGTGAATTTGCTTTTTATTTTTTTGGTTAATAATATCATTACTGAAGGCTAATTGCCTTAATCATTACGTAGCGGGTAATGTATATCATTGTTGGACGATTTACAGTAAAGATTAATAAATTAAAAAAAATGCATTCTCCATGAACATAGAAATAAAGGAGGGAGCTACATCAAAAAGATATATACCCCTTACAATTCCTGAAGCCTCTTTTGCAAGCGCGTCAGCGCAGAGGTTGTTATCACCGAAAGTATGCATAAAGCGTACTTCTCAATCACTTGTCAATAGATCCCGAATGCGGCGTAAATCGGGGTCTAATTCAATTCTCCCTTCCGGTTTAAGATCAAATCTAATGCCGTTTGGGAGTCAGTTTCAACAAGGATTTTGGAAAATCCCAGTTGCTTTGCTATCTCTAGACTGCGCCGGATAGCTAAAATTTGGGGCGTCTTCACTGAACAAATTCCAATGTTTCGTGGAACGCCTTCAAAAACTCGCCACGATGGTTTCTGGCGATACCCCCCACTGCTCCTCTCTTTGTAGCCCAGCACACTGCTCCATCACAATTAATCTTGACCCAGTTAGCGGGCGGTAGCTTCCATCCTATGTTTTTGTCTCTACTGGTTCCAAGCCTCTTCCACGCTAATTAATAGCTTCTCACTGTGAAGGATTTCTTGGGTTTTATGCTTAATGGTCCTGATCGCTTCATCCTTTCCACATCTTCACCATTGAAAATTCTGTTATTTCGCCAAGCCCACAAAAGCCAGCATGTGATGCCAAACTGTGTTCTCAATGTCTGATCCTTTGAGGTCAGATTTGAAACGATCCACTCCTTCAACGTTGAGTTGAAAAAATTTTGTCGGTAATTTGGTGGAGTTATAGTATCCCATATAATTCTTGCATTGGTGCAATCCCTTAAGGCATGTAAGGTTGGCTGTTTCAGTATCTTGGTTGCAGCAGGTACAAACTTCCGTCTCTGTTGAACCTCTGATACGGCAGAGTTCGTTTGTAGCCAACCGACCATATAGGGCCAACCATAGAAATGATTTAATTCGCTGAGGTCCCTTCCAACTCCAGATTTTGCTCCAACTTTTCTCCTCCTGCAGATTAGAATTGTCATCAGCCAGATAGTATGCTGATTTATTAGAAAACTTACCAGATTTATTTGAGCACCAGCACGGTCTGTCTTCTCCTAGTGCTTCTAAGGGTGGTGGAAGGCTTCTTATCTTTGCAACAATTTCCTGTGGAAGCAAATGGCAAAATCTCGTCACATCCCAAGTGCCATCTTCTGTGATGTAATCTGAGACCGTGTTGCCCATCTTCTGTGATGTAATCTCGTCACAGGCACTTACGCACTGCCTTCCCACCATGGAATTTGAACCTCAACAGCCACTTCCCCATCAGACTTGCTGCTCCCATCATGCTCCTACAACGGTTTTGTCCGGTGGACCCCGTCCCCGAGCGGCTCTCTTCTGCGGCCCAGATTCTAACCCAAAGAAAAGGAAGAAGAACTTGGCGGGCAAATCTGGCTCTGCTATTTCCGTCTTCCTCTAAGAAATCCCATTCATCAACTCCGTTGTTGCAATAACTGCAACATGATCTATACATCTCTTCGGAATTTTGTTCAGAATGGGGCATAATTGGTTCCCTCCGAAGTCTCTGCAGCAATAATAAAGGAAGATGAAGAGAAAGGCATAATGGATGTAGGTGTTTCTGATGTTAAGTGGAGAATTTTAAGGGGTAAAAGCTGCTACCCAGAACATCTACCTTTGCTTTCCCGAGTCTCGGCTATCTTCCGGGTACGTTGCACCTCCTGCCTTGGTTTCATACTACTGTTAATGCAGGGTTTTGTCAGATGTGGGTGATATGACCTCTGATACATAGTTTTACCTGGTGCATTGTACTGGTTGCATCTGAAACGCCCAAAAATTGTTCAACTTGGGGGGCTTTGATGATCTAGTTACTTCTAGCTTACCATAAAATAAACTTGTGCGTTTCCTGTTTTGATATTGGAAAATACCCCTGACTTGGTAGGGTCAACGGTCATCAAGACGGATATGGTGACGGAACAGTGAAAAGAGACAAAAAAAGTTTCAAAATGAAATATAAAGGCTCAATCTATATACATGTTGATGTAGGGGATCAAAATTTAAATTGGGACAAATGTAGGGGACCATTTAAACATTTGTTATTTTGATCTTATATGTGTCATTCCGAAAATACCCTTGACTTGGTAGGGTCAATGGTCATCAAGACGGAAATGGTGACGGAACAGTGAAAAGAGACAAAAAAAGTTTCAAAATGAAATGTAAAGGCTCGATTCATATACATGTTGATGTAAGGGACCAAAATTTAAATTTGGATAAATATAGGGGACCATTTATACAGTTTAATCATATTTTATCCATCGTTTTAGCGCATCGATTTTTTTATTTTTTCAAATTGTTGGTTTGGATTTTGATTTGAATCTGGTTTGTTTACTGGACGCTCTCCGTTAGGATTGTGGGTGTTTGTCTTTGCCAAGGTCGTTTTTTTCTTAATATAAACAATCGTGTTTATGTAAGAATGGTCTCAGTTTGGTTAGTGTCCCTGGGTCTGCTTTTAATATTCTCCACTTCTGTATTGTTTATAAATACAATAAGAATTAGTGAATGAATTTTCCATAAGGTTTGGCTTACTTTAATGCTCCAGACTGAGTCCATTGAAAAAGAGGAGTTTATTATTTATATGAGTATTTGATCACATTATCATGTGATCTTATCTCCATTCTGATCTCATGAATTTATTATGCGGTATATATTTTAATTCCAGCTTATTTACTGGTTTTTGATTTTGGGATATATTAATGACAATGGGGGGCTTTTATTTGGTTAGACACTTCATTTATAATTCATTTTTCTGGGTTGTTATTTTAGATTGCAATGATGATGTGGAGACAAAGAGCTCTGATTGTATGAGAATGTTTCGGGCGCTATTGAAGAGGTCGGGGAAAGGTATTGTTGATGGAAAAGTTGTAAGATTGAAAGGCGCTGCTGATGAAATGATTAAGCCGAAGAAAGTCATTAAACGTAAAGAAAGGATAATGGGTGGCTACTACTGGCTTACTGGGAAACCTTATTGAAGTGGATTTCTTTCAACTGCAGGGGTTATGAAAATGATTAAACCACCGGTAGATTAAGTAAGTGTACCCCCTTTTTCTTCTATATTAAGCTGCACTGATCGCCTGAGAAATGATTAGCAGCCATATTCTGTATATTATTACCCGAACGAAGCTCAATGATAGTTGTCTTCCTTTGATGTCAGCTCTTTCTAACTGAACCAGTTATTGTTATTTCAAGGCCAAACGGGATTTGGTCTAGACCCTGCACTAATTTAATTAAGTAGGTTTTTTTGGCAAAACATTCAAACTGTCCAGTGAGGTTGATATTTATGGCATTCAACAAATGATATCGCTGATGATCGCAAGAATTGAACTTGAGGATGATTGAATTATTGGTCTAGATAGTTAAATGTGTAACTTTTAAATGTAGAATTGTTGTTTAATATTTAATAGTATAACACAGAGTGCGCAATGGCCGGCGCAGTGATCTACATGCTTCAAACAATTGAGCTGAATGAATATGGGGTTGTAACAACACCTGGAAAGTGTGTGGCCTGCCATCTGATGATCTTCGAGCCAACACAATTAATCTCAAACCTCAATTAAAATTCAGCTTTGTCTCAACAACATCAAACTAGCTAGAATGTCTCTGTGTCAAAATGATTGTCCGGGTTAGACATTTGAGTCTAAGGAACAACTAAACTTCAAGTAGACTTACTCGAAAACTAGCACAACTAGTACAACCTGCCGTTCCGTAATCAAATACGCTGGGAAATGGAAAACCGTCGACAACTTTACAGTTTTTTGCCCAATAAATGACCACCTGCGAGAAAATAGTTATTTCTACATATTGCATAGAGTTTTTGCCCATTTTTTAAGAATCAAAATAGAGTTTTTATTTTGAGCCTAAAGCCGCGACGTCTCCAAATTGTCTGGGATAAAATTCAGGCTAAAATCCAACATTTTTAAATGAGTGATTTGAGCTCAGAGCTATGCAATTCATTGAATACGTTTCATGAGCAAGAGACTCGGCCGGGTAAATCAACTTGACCTTGTATCTTTACTCTTGTACACGAGTTGCTTCCGACCGTAAATCTCTATCATTGTAGAAACGACATATCAAGTAGTCTCGTAGTAGACAAGAAAGTTAAGAGTAGCCCGAAATCAACTCAATTGGTCGAGGGGATTTCTGGTAGAGAAGGATTGCTAGCTAGTTGATGTTCTCGTGTGATTTGCTTCAAGCACAAACACTCTACGTTGTGAGGTATGCCTACTATTAGTGGCTAGGATTCTTGTAGATTCTTCCGGTGTATGTTGATATGCCTGAAATCTACATGGACATGCTTCCTCAGTGTGTCCTAATGGTGATGGCTTTAAGGGTAGTACAAACAGAGCCTCTGATAGTCTGAAACCATAGTACAGGAATTGGTAAAGAATTGGATCTTCTAGCACTGAAATCTTGTGTTTGAATGCGATTTTTACAGTTATAAAATGACATTTCTTTTTTATTTTTTTATTTTTTATATATATATTTTTACTTTAATACAATTTATTTCAAAAATAAAAATTCAAACTGCACTAGTATATCAATTTTTTATTTCTTTTTTTAGTGTAATTGGTAACAAATGAAAACAATCATTATGTACCAATATCATTGGAGTGTTCAAGGTAAAGATTGAATGATATACCTATTACTAAACGGGAAAACGTTAATCTTTTCCGAACATAAAATTTTTTTAAAAAAAAATTGTGAAAATTTAGGGTCATTTCAAATAGTGTTTATTTTCAACCAAAAAAAAAAAGTAAAGAAAAATAATATAAGCTCTGGAATGTTCCGACATAAGGGCACCAGATATATATAGTCTGTAATTTTCTTCTTTTTTTTTTTTTCTTTTCTTCCGGGGCTTCATAAAACGGTATTGCTCCTGCAACAGGAAAGGAAAGAGGTTTAACTAGGGTTTTAGGCGGTAGAATTATAAGGACGGACGTTCATTTGTACTATCTAAATCAAGTATGGCATTTGCGGGCTTTCGTCGCATTTTGAGCTCAGCTCAGCAAAATTCTTCCGTTCTCCGGTCTCCACTCGGCTCCATCCGTCTAAATTCGACCCTTACTTCCCCCAATCTCTTCGTCAGTGGTACGCTTCTTATTCATGATCTTACCTTTTCTTTACAATTGCTTCATACTAGTGCAGAGTTGTAGAGGGTTCGACATGGTGCTAATTGACAAATTGTGCTTTATTTTGTTTCTCGATCTTTTTTCTCTGCAATGTCGGAATATGTGGTTGATGTTATCGAGCAAAGTGCATAGAAGATTGAATTAGATGATGTGTAGTACGAATTTCTGGATCCGTTGTGATTTGTGTGCTTCCAGTATCTTCTTGTGCCGATTGATTCATTAATTCTAGAGATCCTTCAGTCATTTGTAGGAAAGTACACTTGATTAGTGCTTTACTTACCGTGTCTGATACTATTGATGAGTTTACATGTCTCTAACGATGAGATCAGAGATTTCCAGAGATGTCCAGACAATTTTTCCCTCACTATTGGCAGGCCATTTGTTATTTTTTCGATGTGGGTTTTCCCTCAATAACTGTTTTTTGCGAGAGGCACAAAGACGAGTTCATCTAGCATAGTTACTTCTTTTTTTCACTTTTAGTGTATCATGTGGAAGTTAGGTGTCATGCTTTTTTGGAGGATGTAGCTTCTGGGTTCTTAGACACAGTTTCTCTACTAATGTTGGGGATTTTTACTACAATGACAACTTGAATCCTTTGTTTTACTGTTGAGTTCTTATTCAGGAATTAATTGGTGTACATATCGGTATTCCACTTGTGTGGCAGGGTTCTGTTTGTGTTCTTGTTTTGCTGGCTTCTGTTGGAATTCCTCTTGTTGCCTGTTTTTTCAATGTAGGTTTTCGGTGCATCTTGATGCAGATATAAGGTCTAAAACTTAATTTTTCTCCAGCCCTTATTATGATTAGCTATTTCTGAGAATGTTTAGCTCAAACTGTAACTTGCTGTCTGATTTGTTGATGTTCCTTTCTTCTTTTTCGCTTTTCTGACTCTTACGTGTATCACATTCTCATGAGGTGCCCTTCAGTTAATTTGTATTGGTGTGGGTAATTTCTGAGGTACCCCTTATGTTGCAACGGCAGGTATATCTGAGTCTATAATACATTTGACATCCAAATAGGTCTTTGTCTCTTAGTAGTTTGGTGTGAGACCGATCTGGGCAAAAGATAGCTGTGAGTCCTTACAAGTTTATCTTTGGCTTTGTATAAAAAGATAATATCATGAATAATCTGAGGGATCTGGGAACATTGCTGTTCATGAGAAAGTTTTCTTTCACTTCGCTACATAGTTTTGAGGGGAATGAGCAGCTTTCTTCTCTTTGCATTTCTCTGTGTTTGGATGCATGTTGTCCACTTTCCTTTTGTTACTTTTGGGATTTGGTGCCAGCGTCATACCAATAGTTGGTCTCTTTCTTGGAATGGTTTTATTTAGCATTATCTTGTTGCAGGCCTTTCAAGAAGTACCACTGACGACTCTCTCCATGGTGCATTTTCAAAATTTGGCAGGCTCGTCTCTGGTAAATATGTTTTCCCCTGTATCCTCCGATAACATTGATCTGGCTTTCATATGTACATAATTCACTGAACTTCTAAATTAACTGCTGATCATGGATTCCTCTTTACTTGCTCCCCCTTTTGCAGCCCACGTTATTAAGGATAAAGATTCTGGTAGATCGAAGGGGTTTGGTTTTGTTACTTATGAAACTTTAGAAGAAGCTCAGAAGGCACGTGAAGAAATGAGTGGCAAGTTCTTAGATGGTTGGGTAATATTTGTGGATCCTGCCAAACCAAGAGCGCCAAGGGCACCGCCTTCCCCTCAGTCAAATTCAGAGCAGCAGTCTGGATATGGTTATACAGTAAATAAAACAGTGGGTTGGTGCGGTTAACTTTGAAGGGTATTTTGCTCATCAAGATAGGTTCCCATCTACCAGGATCTTAATTTTTAGCGATTGATCGAATTATTAAGATACTGATATTGATGATTCATTCACCGAAGGACTTGTGAAATTATTTGAGCTAAAACTCATGATGCGATAAATTTATTGACAAGTTGCAGACTTGTATTGTAGTAGACATTTATAAGCATGAAATGCATTTGATATTGAATTTGCATTAGCTACCAACAGAGACATGCCGATGAATACAACAAACTTACCATTTATGTAATCAATAAGCATCTTGTCCAATCTTTTTTGAACTAACAAACTATTTCATTCATACCATGCAAATATTACAGAGCTGATGACATTATAGAGACTTTAGCTAAACTATGAACTCTCTCTACAACCTCTCGTCTAACTTTTTCTAAGTTACAATAAACAAAATGTTCTCTCAACATGACAATATCTTCTTCCAAAGCTTGTAAAGGAAAAGGTAGACTATTTGGCCTCGAACCTATGCTTGCTACAACGGAATTGTCACACCTAGAAATGCCATGATTGATGGCTGCTTGAAGTCCATTCAGGCATGCCAAGCAATTAAGGTTCAAACCTAGCCAAGTAGTATAATAAACAAGGAAAACTAGGGCTGGAGATTTCGGACACAAATTCCGAAAGTACGAGGGACTAATTCACAATTGTTGATGATTTTGGCAAAGTGCACTTAGGTGGTTGGATAGGGAAATCATGTCCATGATTCTTATTTTAAGTGCAGCGAGAACTACTTACCATCAATCACTCTCTAATTTGTGTACAGTGCATTGTATTACCTTAATTAATTGGCGCGTGAAACAAAAAAAGTAGAAATGTTAGATTAGCCTATCACTCCGCTAAGTGCATACGGCACAGAGAGAAGCCAGTATTAGTGTAGTAGCAGCTATTTTGGTTTTCCCTCCTTCGTTCTAAAACCCTAAATCATGTCTCTCAGCGTTACTACTTACCATGCGACTGTGAGCTTCAGATTTTCGCAACTCAATGAACTCAAACGCGAAGTTAAGGTCAGCTTCTGTAACTAGTTTTTACTATCTGCTCTCCTTCTGGTTGATCAATTGCTTCATTCTCAATCCCATTGCCATGGATAAAAAGGAACAAAATCTGAAATATCTGCTTGTTTTTGTCTCTCTATTTTTGTTTTTAGATAATTAGAACTTCATTTTGTCCGGTTGTTTTTCCATTTTGCCAGTCATTTCTGTTCCCTTTTTTTCAAATAATTGATTTTTGTATTTGCTGGATGCAGAATGTCAGATTGACAGGAAATTACCGCAGAGAATTTAAAGTAATGGCAGTTTCAACGGACCTCAAGCAGGCTTCAAATTACATTCCTGCCGCGCCAATGCTTTTGCCTGAAGGACCTTTCAAGCAGGTGATAATGATACAAATCCTTTCCTTCTCAAAACTTTTGATCAGAAACAAAGTCAGGATGCGTGTCTCGTAATTGACTGAATGATTTCTGCATATTTCTCTAGGAAAATTTAATCTATAACTCCCTTCGTTCCAGAATGATTGTCATTTTTCTTGGAGATATGTTTGTGTCTGCGAGAATTGCTCTTGCATGAAAGACTATGCAAAGCTAGAAAGAAAAAAAAAATGGTTGAAGCGTGATTGTTAATTGAACCAGCCATGGGGCTATGTATGCGCAGATTCCAGGTGGAGTTACAGCTGCTGAAGGTTTTAAGGCTGCTGGATTATACGGTGGTCTTCGTGCAGTAGGAGAGAAGCCTGATCTATCACTTGTCACCTGTGATGTGGATGCCGTCGCTGCTGGTACATACTCTATAGTTTACAACAGAGAAAGATGCACTATCTTGTTCATAAGGCATTAATCTTGCTCAGATATTTTCGGTCAGTTTGGCTTTTGAACCTCTTATCATTGCAGGGGCATTCACCAAGAATGTGGTCGCAGCTGCACCAGTATTGTACTGCAAGGAAGTGTTAGAAAGCTCAACAACGGTTTGTATGAGTGATGACTCTTATTTCTGTTGTCTATAACATATTATCACTTTCCAAATAAACTTTTCAGGTTCGTGCAGTTTTGATAAATGCTGGCCAAGCAAACGCTGCAACTGTAAGTTCTATGCTTTTGATATGTGGTCCTTGATTACTCACATGAATGTTGTATTGCAACTCAAAAAGCTTAGGCTGCAACTTGGCATTGTCTCAATTTAATACCACGTCAAAGAGTTTTCAAGTGTTTCTGATGTGCTAGGACAAAGGTTCTCCAGAATTCTCTACGTGCTTAAGTGCTTAAGAACTCTATCGATTGATTTCTAGGGTGATGCGGGCTACCAGGATGTCATAGAATGCTCAAATGCGCTTGAAAAGGTAATAATTTGGTACATCTGCAGTCCAGTACTTTTACGTTTGTGATGTTGACATCTAAATGTTGCAGCTACTTGGGCTGAAACCTGGGCAAGTATTGATTGAATCCACTGGTGTAATTGGCCAAAGAATAAAGAAGGTGAATGAGCAAATAGGTTTTATTTTAATTGCAGCTTTTTATTTTGTTCTACAGTTGGCTTTATAATTTATCAAGCTTTAGTAAGGTGTACCTTTACCGTAAGTGTTCTTTGTTATTCTGCTACTAACCTGTGACTTGGCTCTGATGTCTATCTGTTGCAGGATGCTCTTCTGGGATCACTTCCTAAATTAGTTAATTCATTGTCATCAACCTCTGAGGGGTATGTTTAACCTACTCACTCTGGTTTTAATTTGACTTGGTAATCAACTGAATCGAACACCCTTTATTTCAGTTTTTCTGGCCCCTTAACTCCTTTTGCTTCTCTCTTTTAGTGTTTTATTTTGGTGAATCTTTGCGACATTGAATCTCTTCCTTGGTTTTGCAGGGCTGATTCTGCAGCTGTAGCAATAACAACCACTGATCTTGTTAGCAAAAGTGTAGCAATTGAGTGTGAGGTACATGCCTCTTTATACTTAGTCGCCTCTGCCAGTACAAACTTTCTCGCGAGCCTATGGTTAATTGGGCATTCTTTAACAGCTGAAGTTGATCTGTATCTGTATTTTGCTCAGATTGGAGGGACTCGTGTGAGGGTCGGGGGAATGGCAAAGGGGTCTGGAATGATACACCCTAACATGGCAACAATGCTTGGAGTAAGTCTGCTGACAGATTGTCTGTTACTGATCCCAAAGTTAATGTTCTTACTCTTGTTCACAATGATAATTTTTCTCAGGTTATAACAACTGATGCCTGTGTTACAAGTGATATTTGGAGAAAGATGGTGCTGGTTTCTGTGAACCGGAGTTTCAACCAAATCACGGTATGCAATAAATCTATTTTTCTGGTTATGCACTACAGGCTCCCAGTGCAGCTTCTGCCTGCTTGTATTGATGTTGGTAATGCTGTGGTATTTTACTGCTCCAATTGTTGGAGTCATTATGAAGATAACTGTTAGATGTCATCTGAAGTACTCATTTATCTGATGCATTGGCTTTTGGCTGGGCCGGTTATTTTGGATACTTTGATGTTCAACCATGCATTTACAGGTAGATGGAGATACCAGTACTAATGACGCTGTGATCGCATTGGCAAGTGGGCTTTCAGGGTCAGGCACTATATCTTCTTTGAACAGTCCAGAAGCAGAGCATCTGCAATTGTGCCTTGATGCTGTAAGTTCAGCTAATTCTTTAAATTCTTTCCTACTCATCATATGTAACGGTTGGTATTTCCATCAACTGTTGTTCCTGTGGAACAGATACATCTATTAGTTTACCCCTCATGTGTCAGTGAGTTCTTTTGTAGTACTTTAGAGTAGCTTATATTAATTCTTTTCAAAGAATTCGCCTCTTGTGAACAGTATCTTTCAACTTCTACCAAAAGACTTTTATATCCAACCTCTATGTTTAACTTGCCCAAAGCATTCATTATGTGTTTGGTGAGTAAGGCAGTAGAAGTGTGACTTCTTTTCTTTCATCTCGAAGGGGGAAAGGCTTATGTGTGGATTTAGTGGTTTCTTAGAGATGGTCAACTTTCCTCACGGAGTGCTCCACCTCTTTATGCACCAACTCATCTTTGTATCGCTGTAATCTGTTTGCTTGTGTGAATTTTCAGCTATATCCTCGAGAAGTGCTTAATGAATTTGATTCTGTTATTGTATGCATGTTTCCATTACTGATTTTGAGGATATGCTGAAGCTTAATGAGGTTCGTAAAAATGTTCTTCCAGGTAATGCAGAGCCTTGCAAAATCAATAGCTTGGGATGGTGAAGGAGCCACGTGTTTAATTGAGGTCTGTGTTGTTTAGAAGGAACTGATAACATTTCGCCTGGACAAACTTATTTTCTTTTTAACAGTTCTTATTGCATTCAGTTATATGATTTCACTTGAGATGTATACATATATTTCATCAAGGGCACTTTTTTTTTTTTTTTTTGGTTACAGTTTAGTCAATTTATTGCTGTCATATGTGGAATTTAACAGAGTGATTGGCTTCTGTTTGAGTTATGTGATTCAGTAGTGAGTACAAAATGTTTTTATGACAAAAATCAAGGGTAATCTTACCGGAAGGATGTGCAGGTCAGGGTAAATGGTGCACATAATGAAGCTGAAGCATCCCGAATTGCTCGCTCTGTTGCTTCTTCTTCACTTACCAAGGTAAAAGTTGATATACACCTGAATATACTAAAATTTCCAAAAGAAGAGTGCTTAGTTTGTTCTTTTTAGGCTGCCGTGTATGGTAGAGATCCAAATTGGGGGCGCATTGCTTGTGCTGCTGGTTATGCAGGGGTTTCGTTTGATCCAAACAAGCTCCGCATATCGCTTGGAGAGATTTTGCTCATGGATGGAGGTCAACCCCTTCCATTTGACCGGTAAAGAATTATTCTGTATAACTGTTGCGTGATGTCTGCAGTGGCCATTAGAGAGATCCATTGTCGAAAATTCCTCCTATGCATAAATATATTAGGCATTCTTATTCAGAAATCTAGCACCTTATTACACATAGCTTTCAGTTTTTCTTGCATACTTTTTGTTTAGCCCTTTCTAGAATTATTCTGCTTGGGTGCTCTGAATATCTAAAACCTTGCAGGGCTGCAGCAAGTGAATATCTCAGAAAAGCTGGTGAAATCCATGGCACTGTAGAAATTCTTATTTCTGTTGGTAAGTTTTTGCAGCGTTTTGGTAGGATCATGCATAAATAAATTCGGAAGCGATTTTCTTTTCAGTAAGAGCTGCTCTCGAATTGGTCCATGCATCACCACTTTGAGAAATAAATATCCTTACCTTGGGTTTGTTTGACACCACTGTCGCATCCATTTTGTTGGATCCAAATGGAACCATTTCAACATTCATGTTTGCTTGGTGCACGATCCAACAATAACTTTGTTGAGACTTAGTTCATTTATAAATGTTTACATGCTTTTTGACAGGTGACGGTTCTGGTAATGGCATTGCTTGGGGCTGTGACCTGAGCTATGACTATGTGAAGATTAATGCTGAATACACAACTTAGAAATATATGGTGGAACCAAGGTAGCCTCCCTGTGCCAATTGCTGCCGGGACAGAAGTGCTCGTCATATCTCATTGCACTGCATCAGTGGCATCTTGATACGAGATCAACTCATTATGGCGCATTGCGGAGTCATAGGCATCCTGTTGCAAGACTGCACTAAGAGCTACAATTGAATCATTCATGCCATTGGGGGCGTGTTGGAAAATTTGCAGCTTTTATTGGGACTGTAATGGTGCCTCAAAAGCATATGGAAGAGGTGGTGGTTTTTTTTTTTTTTTTTTTTTTTTTGGTTTGGGGGGGTGGGGGAGGAAGAGGTGGTTGTTACTCTGCAAGTTTAATTTGCTCTAAAAGATTGTACTTATTTTCACTAGCCAAACTATAACGGCCTTTTTGTTTTGTACTTATTTTCACGACTCACTGCCTTCTTTACTACAAAGAGAAAAGAAATATTGTAGACAGTTAACCAGCTACGCTAACCGTGATATCAAATTTGATTTTCATATTTTAAGGAATGTAGTCTCCCACCACCACCCCCAAAAAGAAAAAACCATAACCCTTGCAAGTATCTGAATAAAAAGAAGGTTGGGGCCCAACGAGAGATCAAATACAAACAAAAGGTACATTAACACAGGAACTTGTAAAAGTTGCTTAGCATTTGTATTAACATCCGAAATGTCAATCCTTGGAAGAAAATCCTCAAGAAACAAAACCATCTTCGACCATCTCTGTAACTTCAGTTCCATAAAAGAAACACAGACCAATACTAACATTTTTATTTATTTACAAAACCAGAAAAGAGATCCATATGATGCCTCAAGTAGCTTCGGTAACTGGGAAGTGCATCGACGCAACAGATTTCTTCAGGAAAGAATGGCCACAGAAGGGATCTGGGTTGGTAACACCAAAATCAACAGCACTGGATGCGAGTCCACCAGATAAAACTTCACTTCCTTGGCTGTCGCCGAAAGGATCTGGGCAGCCAACACCAAACTCAAGTATACTAGGCTGAGGATTGCCGTACCAAGCTCCACTAGATTCATTGTCGGCTAGTTTGTAATGTTTGGTGGAACTCCCACCAGACTTCCGAGATTGCTTCTTCTCCTTGCCCTTACCTCGAGAAGCTTTGCTACTACCTTTCTGCTTGTTCTTTCCATTCCTCTTGTTATATCGTTGTGGCTTTCTGTTTGGTACATGAGAAGCAGAAGTTGGTATTGGATCATAGACATCAGGAGCCCATTTTACTGTCAGATTCCTTGGTGGAGCCCCTAGTTTCTCTCGGCTTCCTTTCAGGGCAGATACAAGCTTCACAGGAGTCTGTAAGAAAATAAAGTGCAGGAGAAAAGAGGAAAAGAAAAAACGGATTTGTTAAGTATAATGTTGCAACAGTTTCAAAAGCTTGACCTCAAGCATTGTCTTGGTCCTCCTGTACCATCGAAAATAAACAAGAGCTCGGATCCAGTGTGGTTCACCACATGGTCAGCACTCATGCGAAACTTTTGAGATTTGAAGCAGCAGAAGAAGTACATAAAGACTGGATGGAGCAGTTATGATTGCAGATAATGAATGAGAAAGACACAAATATGCAAACTTCTCGGATTTATAATATAGAAAATTGACATTTATCAAAAAGCATTTAGATAAAGCAAAAGATCAGAGCATATGTGAAGCAACAAGAAGATCACGAGACACCTGAAGTAACGCTAGAGAGGACTTTGCAACAAGGAACCCACATAAATCAACATGATAATTATGAAACAACAGCTTACACAGGCTATAAACGATCAATTATAATATCAGTAGATAACTCATAATTGTTAAGATGGTCTCAGAAGACACCGGACAAGTATAGATTCAAAGTAAAAACAACCAGGGAGAACGAAAAGGAATGATGTCAAACTTACAGGCAAAGACACTGAACGAGTGTACGAACTGGCAGACGTAGCACAGCCTTTCTGCATTAAATCATGAGGGGTAGAATCACCTTTTTGCTCTTCTATTCCATCAAATGTACCATCCGAGTATTTACTCCCAGCAGAACATGGAAATGTTGCACATTTACTGAAACACTTGTCACTACTTAGTTTATCCAACTCAACCTTGACGGAATCTTCAATTTCCACTTTCTTCAATGAATCCTCAATTTCATCATTATCTTGAGTCTGAATGATAATATTCGATGACTGCTGTTTGCTGTTTCCAGACTTAATCGAACTATTACAGACCTTATCTTCGTCAAGAACTTCATAGTCACCAGAAGAAATTTCAGGTGGACCCAATGACAAAGCCGAGAAGCTGCTTAAATCTTCGGAATCCGACATGCTCCAAGGACAATAGAGGATAATCGATCAAAGCAGGCAATGCACGTCAAGATGAAGCAAAGCAACCTAGACAGAAGTGAAATGGTTCAGAAATTAATCACTTGGCCAATTTTACATTTAGGGAAATAGATTCACTGCGTGAAAGATACTAAGAAAAAAGAAATACTTGCTAACCTAATCGGGAAGCCAAATCACTAAATGCAACTCATAATGGGCATTGAGTGCCATATAGATGGCAACACTTAAAGAGATTCCCAAGTTTCATACAGCCGGAAATCATGAAAAAAAAAACTCACTGAAAAACATGTTACAGCAATCTTATAGTCCTACGCGTTAGTGTCTGAGATATCATAAACAAGAATCCTACTATTGTTTCAGGAACATAAGGATTGTCATTACATGTCTGAGTGTACCACAGATGTTTTTCCCGTCATAACTGACGGATAGAAGATAAATCAAGTAATTAACTTTAGTTTAGTTTTTATGTATAGTATTGAATAAAAACCTACCACAAAGCCAGACAGGACATGGATCCAATAGAACACAACCAATTTGTAAAACATTTCTAAGACAAAATCACTTCACGATGTTCTACTTAACAAGAAAACTAAAGGAACCGCTAAAAATTACATAAAAGTTAAGGTTGCAAATTTACAATTAAGTCAACAAAAACGTAAAACACACCTTCGTTGATCCGCAAGGGCAAATTATGTTATCAGAACTGAAATCGAGAAGCGAAAGATATATACGTTCCCAAATTCTCCGAGCAACACCGATTCAGATGCTGACACCGATGGAAAAGGTTCTAATAACACGATAGCACACAATCTCCCGGTAATTATAGTAAGAATCTAATCGGAATATCTACTAGGAATTATCGAATTCAAAGGTTCAAAAGAAAGAGAAGCTGAGATAAAGGAACGCCGATAACGATGAGGAATAAAGGATATGATGATAAACAAGAGCCGATATAGAAAAGGGGGGAAAAGCAGAGAGATAGGTAGCGATAAAGAAAAGTAAACGTTAACTAAGATTACCACGCCGATCAGCCTTATGGAGGCGTTTCAGACGATGAGAAGAGGATCCGCCATAGAATGACGTCACGTAAGGGCGGCGAGTGAACAGTTCGCGAGAATGAAAGGGGAAAGACGAAGGCACCGAATGCATTGTTCGATCCGATGCTCTCAGACAAAGCATCAGCCTCAAATGAAGAAGATCACTCCAAAATAAACGAAATCCGCCACGGTTGTAGGATGATTCAAACCCCAATCGAAACGATTAATCGGTTAAAAAGGGAATGATTAAAAAAAAAGGGGGAAAATACAAAAATAGTAAAAAAGCTGGCTCGATCACCGGAAGTCAACTCAGATCGGGGCGCATCATCGTCGGAAGATAATCGGAATTAAACCCTTGAGATCAGGCAAAGCTGGAAGACTATTGGAAAGGGGATGGTTGAATTCGGCGACGTTATCGTTTTCTATTATCGGCTCTGTTAAAAAAAAAATAAGAAAACAAAAATGTTCTTCCCCCTCCTTTAATATCTACGCGCAATGACAAATCTATAATGTTAAAACCCCCAAATATGACGTGGCTATTTATCTGTATTCGTATTCGGTATTCCTATCTATACCGTACACTTCTGCACTTTTTGTACGTATTGATTTACGTAGATTTACGGTGTACTTAACAATATTTTTGGTATTGGAAATAAAATAGCAACTCTAACCTTTATTTATACATTATAATTTGGATCACATTAGCATGAAAATAGAATATTTGAAGCATCTTTTTAACTAAATGTCTTGACACCACCAAATTTCTAAATATTATAGTTTAAATTTTATTTTAATTGTTGAAAATCTTATACTTTAGTAATAATTTTATTTAGGTTATTTCGTAATTGTTTTAATTTAAGTATGGAAGTATCAATTTTTTCATATTTAAATTTAATAATGACTAAAATTCTTTTTTAAAAAATAAATATTATAGTCAATACGAGTCTTATTTCGAAGAACCAAAATGATGCATTGATTTAGTACTTTCGTTAGAATGCAAACTATTCATCAATATACTAAATTTAGTGTTTTATTATCTTGGTTCGAGTTTGTATGACCCTTTTGTTTCTTTTTCTCCACAACCATAAGAAACATTCCATATATTAGAAAATGACATAATTCAGTTTAGTTCGTTCGCTTCACTTTTTCTTTTCTAAAACGAAAAAAAGAAAAAGAAAATCCATAGTAAGACGTCATGTAAATTAAAATAAGAATAATATATTAAATTTGGAATAATTGTATGACCATATAATAAATTGTTATGAGATTATAAAAATGTTATCGAATATTAAGATTACGTAATATCTCCAGAGAGAGCATGTAATTATATAGGCACAATTGGTAATGTGCAAAATCGCTCACTTTAATTTGCAAAAATCATTTATTTCGCCGTCGTTCTAGAACACTCCAAAGCTGGCTGAATGAGAAAAGTATTGCCAAACCACGGGTGGTTCTGGTCAAAGGATGTGAGAGATAGACAAGACCGCGGGGTATAACAGTCCCAGGTCAAAGTCATTTGCGTAGTAGAATTTAGACATGTTTTTGCTGAAGATATTTTCCTTGAAGTAGTATGGGCCGGGTTACGAAGCATGGCCTATTTTGCTCCTTTAGAATTATGTCACATTAGTCTCTTGCATTGGAATATTGCATTTGTGTAGTAGTACAATGTCGTCCTAGCGCGCTCGTTTAATGGTAACATTTATAACAGAAGAAGGGTTGAGTATTCGATCTGCTCCATTTTGATCATTAATATTTGTAATCATGCAAAGGATTAATTTGGAGACTTACGAGGACTTGAAAGTTATAAGATGGGCGGGACTTATTGAATTTTTTAGACACAAGAAAGATTTTGTTGATGGAGAAAATATGAAGATGTTGAAAGAGAAAAACATCTTAGATAAAAGAGAGAAAATGATTCAGCCTTCAACCCACGAAAATGAGTAAACGATTAAAAGATTGGAATGGCCGTTGATTCGCTTTTCTCAAAGAGACGATGAAGATTCATCAGCGGGACAAATTAATTTGTTTGGTTTGTTTTTCAGTGCGTTTTTTCAGAATAAAATACTATTCATAAGTGTTTCATCTTACCATAACGTATTATATTTGCCATACAACTTTATACTATATTCTAAGAACACGTATAAAAAACCGATACAAACACAAGGATTCATTAAACGGAAGTTAAGAATGGGAGAATGACGGCCTTGTTTGAACAATCATTTGTTTTACCTTCTGGTTCATTTTACTTTTTAAACACAAATTACAATGCAAAATAAAATACTATTTGACGAGTCATAAATTAAACCCTAACCCTAATGGGTTTGGGTCGGTTATCTTAGAAGTTAAGTCACCGACTAAACCTAATTCGACTAGGTTTAGGGAAACAGGTAACACCACCTCTATATAAAGAAGTGGTGCCTCCCTCATAATTGATATCTGATACACGTATCTTCTACCACTCTCTCTATTCTTTCTATCCCTTTATTGACTTAAGCATCGGAGAGTCTACCCTCGGGAGACATCCGAGACTCTGTCTTGTAGGTTTTAAGCCGTCCGCCGCCACCTAGATCATCATCGCCCCCCATCCTAAGGCACCATACAAATCCAAGCTTCGTCAATATCCAAACATTAATTTGACTTACCTTTTAAAAAATATTTTAAACATTATTTTTACATAATTTTTGTCAACCACCTCCACCACCCGCCGTTCCGGATGGTAGTGGCCGGTGGTGGAGGTGATCCGATGGTGAGAGAAAAATTAGCGCCGGTGATTACTCAACTATTATAATGTCTCCAGTTTGGTCACTGAACTATTTTAATTTCATAAATGGTCACTATACTATAATACTATCCAAATCAAAAGCTAAACTACATTTTAAATCTCCTCCCAAATTCAAATAAAAAATGAAAAACAAGCGTTGTCCAAACACCCTCTATATATTTCTGCATATTGTCATAAGGGCTCCTAGAGGATCCAATCCCATCCGGGTGTTTATGTGTTGCATATATTCTGAACTTATTTCAACATTAAGTTGCTCTTATCGCCTGAGTAATATTTAGCTGCCCTATGTATAATTATGTGTGTATTAAACTAAACTACGTTAATGAATCAGTATCTTTTTTCCTTTTATCTCAGAACCAGTCACCATTCATTCCCTCTCCAAAGTCTTTTTTTTTTTTTCCCATTCACCATCTTCTTACACCGTCGTCATCAGTGCTAATATAAAGATTCAGACTTTATTATTGCTTCCGTCTCAAAATTAATGTCTAGTTTAACTTTTCATTTTTAATTCAATAATTTCGGGACAGATAGAATACTTAGCATACTCATTAGATCCATTTTCCAGAAAGCGCATGGCTATATGGGGAGTTGGGGACCGTAAAAATATTGCAGAGGTCCGTGAAATGTATTGTTGATGGAGAAAAGATGAAAGATTGAAGGGCAGTGCAGATGACAAAGATTCAAAGGATTCAACAACCCACAAGAAGGATTAAACAACCATTAAGGATGGCAATGTCCGATAAGAAAAAGAATTCAACAGAACAAATGAGTGATCATTAGACGTACATTGAGGATGGGGATCGAATGAGCTATATATGGCTGGGGACATCCGTAATCTTTCTTCGACGAAACTAATCTCAAATTTACTACTAATATTAATCTATCACTACTTTTTTTTTTTAATTCAAATAGAAACAGTATCTTTACTATTGTTGAAGAAGTTTATGAAATTAATCCAAACTGTATTCTCCCGTACTAAAACAAGAATAACATTTTTTTTCAAGAAACAAATTATATGAACTCCTTCTAGTCAATAAACAGCATGTTGAATTGTCACATATACTCCATATCCTATATCCCAAAAAAAAAAAAAATAAATCTACATTATAAATTGTAATGTGATAATTTTTTATTTTTTATTTTTTATATATTTACAGATTGTCCACCGTCAACATGACTAATCCCCCTCGCTGAATTGTAAGTATCTCGATAGGTGGGATAGCTGACCAAAGTATTTAAAGTTGTTTCATGCTTATGGCGAGGTTCAAACCCTCAAACTTATGGTTAAGCGTGGAGTAGTCCCTTCCACTCCACCACACCACCGCAACTTTGGTTATTGTGATCATTTTTTTAAACGTAGAGAATAACAAATGTTTATACATCACCCCCACAACTACCTACAAGTCAAGGCCATAAAACTTCAAAGGGGATATGCGCGCAAACACACACATACGTCAGTCTGAAACCAACCGTGATCAAAATGCAACGCCAAAATTATGCTGCAGCGTAAATTGTCTGTATACAATCTACTGCAGGGGATTTGCACTCTTTCGCATAAAAGCTTGAACCCCAAGCCAAGGAACCTGATTGGTTCATTTCATTAGTTCCGGATCATCAAGCACGACCGTAGATTAAAATCAATCCGACGCCTCCAAATTAATTGAACTCACATTATCAATGTTTGCCGTAACAACTTATTAACAGAACCATTTTCTCCCATTTAATTCGTCTATATAAAGAAACCCCCAGCATAAAAAGTGTGCTTCGTTTCTTTTCTGCACTCATTAGCCAGAGCAGTTATCTTGGGATCAGTGAAGATAGAGAGAGAGAGAGAGAGAGAGAGAGAGAGAAAAGAGCGAAGAGAGAGAGAGTCGTGCTGTTGAGGAAGGAAAATGGAGAGCGGAGAAGCAACTGGTGGTGATCAGGCTGGAAATGGAGCCCCGGCGAAAGGTGCAGGGACAAGTGCTGCCGGAGCGGCCGTCAAAGGGAAAAGGGGGCGAGGAAAGGGTGCTGGAGATGGCAAGGGGAAGAAGCCGGCAACTGGAGGAAGGATTGGCGCCGCCGGTCGGAAGAAGGTAAGCCGTTCAGATAAGGCAGGACTGGTGTTTCCGGTGGGAAGGATCGGCCGTTACTTGAAGAAAGGACGCTATGCTGAGCGAGTTGGATCCACTGCTCCTGTCTACTTGGCTGCTGTTCTTGAATATCTTGCTGCTGAGGTGCGATTTTAATCCTAATTAATTAATGAATTTGCCTGATCTGTTTTTTTTTTTTTTTTTGAGTTGAATCCATGTTGACGATAATGCGACTGTATCTGTATCCCAATTTGCCTGATCCATTATCAATATTCAGAGAAAATAATTAATTTATCGTTTCCCCTGTTTGTTTGGGCTGTTCAATTTTGCATGAGCATCGGATTATTAGGATTTTCATTTTACCACTGCTTACTCTGTGTTTCCAAATTCATTGAAAGTATTTCCACGTCTTTTGGTTGACGTTGGCGTTGGAATAGTGTTGCATGGCAACGTTATGGATACACTGGCTTCAATAGTACTCTGTCTCAAGATTTAAGGTCTTGAATCTTGAATTCTTGATCAATCGAGTTTACCTGAGATTTTTTTTGCACACTTTTTGTTTGCTGAATAGTCTATATGAAGTGTTGTCATACTCTAGTGATTCTGTTCAATTGTAATTTTGATTCTGAATTAGAAGGAAGGATTGTTGGCTTAAGTTCATTTGGCACCTTGTATGCATGTGCATTGGAAATTTTTCATCGTTTCTGCTTTCGTATGAACTTGGTAGTGTAAATTGTTGCTGTTTGATGATCTAATTGCACTGAGTATCCCTTGGGCGAATATAGCAGCAAGTACTAAAATAAAATTAAAAAAAAAAAAAAAAACTTCCTCTAAGTTTATCATGATTTTGGATCTCGAGCTAGAGCTGGGTTTGTAGAAGGTGGTCTAATCTTATCAAGTTATGTTCTGCCTTTGGTCATTTGAACAATTCATGGAGTCATTATAGTGTCTTTTTTTGAGGCTTGATTCCTGTAGTTCTGTGTATCTCTGGTGCAGCTTCTGGAGTTGGCTGGGAATGCTGCAAATGATAACAAGAAGAAGAGGATCATACCAAGGCATGTGCTATTGGCTGTGAGGCATGATGAAGACTTGGGTAAAGTTTTGGGGAACGTAGTTTTTCCAGGGTCGGGTGTGGTTCCTCATATCCACCAAGCCCTTCTGAAAAAGAAGAAGGATACAGACTCCCAAGAGCCAGAGAAGGGAAAGTGAAGTAAAAGATGGATGCAGCTAAAAAAACCACTACAACCCCTAAAAAATTTCATATTCTCTGTGAATCAATAGAAGTTGGTTTCCTTGTCACAAACTTCATAGATATATAGTAGTTTCTTTACTGAATATAGTTTCTGTCACATCCTAGACAGTTAGCACTTTTGCTGTATCTCATCTGATATCTAGCTAGCTTCACTACTAGAAATTGTTGATTCTGTTGGGTAGCGACGATCACTGGGATCATTGTGGATTTTGAATAACAATTTTTACTGTACTAAATAGCTTATCAATTTGGCTCCGATTTTGCCTGTCCTTTGTATCATTTTTTTTTTAATAATTTTATTTTGAAATTGTTGGCTTGCTATAGTTACTTACTTTAATGTATGCTGGACAGATTGGTAGACCTGTTCAGAAGGAATTGGATTCACGAGTTGGTTGGTGTATGAGACTAATCATTCATTTCATCAATTGTTTTTTTCGCTTACTCATGGTTTTTGTTTGGGAACTTTTTCATAATTGTAATTATATTTTGCCTTCAATGTTTATCGCTGAAGATCGTACGTGAACCAAGTAGTAGTACTCATCTTATCAACTTTTTATACTGTTTATGACCTGAAATATATACATATATATACATGCATACTTTTTATACTGCAAACTTAATTGTGTATTTCTTTAAAATGATTTTGTTTCGAACTCTTTGTAAAACATATGCATGTCCTTTCTCAATTCATAATGCCCATCGCCCCTGTGAATTTGGCTTGCACCTAAATTTCTGATGTGTTTGTTCACGAATAACGGGTCTATAAATCACTAGAACGTAGACTACGCATCACTTCGATTTCCTGATGCCATCTCCTCTCCAGTGTTGTGGTAAATTCCCTATAAATGAACCCTTTTTTTTTAATCTACTTTATCAATCTCATCAAATATTCAATTATTGTTCTGTGATAATTAAGAGCAAGTTTACCATACAGATCATTTTGCTTGCTTTAATAATTCCATTTTCATAAAACGACATTTTTTATATGAATAATATTAGGAGACATGTCATCTGATTTTATCTCCGTGTTAGACTACCTAATAGTGGCACGCTGGCACTGATGACTTTTTGAGTATGCATTCCTCGTTGGCCTGAAGGCCCTGAATAAGCTCGTTGAGAATTATGTTGCATTATTAGAGCATCCCGACGTTACCTCAAACAGCAAATTACTGCTAGTTTTACCGAAAATGGACTCCACTTAGAGCAGCATAACAGCAAAAAAGAGCAGAAAATTGGTGTTGCTACAGTAATGTGTGAAAGCTGCAAGACTGTAGCAGCAGCAAACGGCAAACTCTAACTATTTTTTTTTATTTAATTTTGAAATTATCTATAGGTTCCGCTAGTTACATTTTATTCTAATTTTGCTTATGTAAATATTTTACAAATTTGTAACACATGTGATATCTTTGTAAAGTTAATTATGAGATTAAATATTTTCTAGAATAATAATTATTTTATGACTAAAATCTGAAAATAGTCATCTACATTAGACAATGCATATTTCGGTCTTTTAAAATTAACATTTCACTAAAATAGTCTACTATATTTCAGGATGTAACTTTTTTCGGTGTTTCAATACTATTCATATCCTTTGGCCATATTTTGGATTAAGTCAACATGGGTATTTTCTAAATAATTCTATTTAGATTTTTTTGAAAAATTTTACATTAAATAAAATGTAACTAGAATATAAAAATGGTCCTCTTACATTATTCAATGAATTTTTTTTTCAAAAATATAAAAAAGATTATTCCAAAAATACATTTGTTGAATTGATCCTAATTCCTAAATAAACTCAAAGTGTATGAATAGTATAAAAAGACCAGAAAAGTTACGTTCTGGAATATATTGACCATTTAAGCCAAATATTAGTGTAAAAAACCAAAATGTGTATTTGGTCTAATATTATAGAGGACTATTTTCAAATTTTTGTTTTGTTTAATTACGAATAAATAATAAAATTAAAAATATAACTGTAACGAAAAATAAATACATTTATAAAAAAAAATAAAACACACATATTTCAATACTAGAACAATCATTCAAAAGACAACATTCAACATACCAATCGTGCATACGCACCTATTAGCTCTGTACACATTTACTGGCTCCGTGTATAGAATAATAATTAGTATGTACACAATATCATATCGCATTTTGTTTACAGAAATCTAGCATGTATTCAACAATTAAACTCATGTACACAATATCAGAAAAAAAAAAAAAAACTCTTAGGTTGAAATCTGAATGTTGCTAGCTATTTAAACAGACTGGCTAGCTATATTCAAGAATGAGCTAACTAAAACAACATACAAGCTGACTACGACCGAAAATAGCTAGCTATTTCATAGAACCAACTAGCTATTACTTTCTAGTCAAAGACTATTAAAATAATTAATTTCATATTATGTAATCCAAAATATAAAAGGAATGTTTTGATTATTATATTCGTGTAAAAATAAAAATGTGCATTTGGTCACGTCTTGTTTAATTACGAGTAAATTCCCTATAAAATTAAAAATGTAACTGAAACGAAAAATAAATACATTTATTATTAAAAAAAATAAAACACACGTACTTCAATACTAGAACAACCAAATCAAAAGACAACGTTCAACATACCAATCGTGCATACGCACTTATTAGCTCTATACACATTTACTGGCTCCGTGTATAGAATAATAGTTAGTATGTACAAAATATCATATCGCACTTTGTTTATGGAAATCTAGATGTATTCAAAAACTCAATTCATGTACAAAATATTAGAAAAATAACTCCTAGGTTGAAACCTGAAAGTAGCTAGCTATTTAAACAGACTGGCTAGCTATATTCAAGAATGAGCTAACTAAAACAACATACAAGCTGACTACGACAGAAAATAGCTAGCTATTACTTTCTAGTCAATTACTATTAAAATAATCATTTTCATATTGAATGATATGTAATCCAAAAATATAAAAGGAATGTTTTGATTATTATATTAGTGTAGAATACCAAAATGTATATTTGGTCTAATATTATAGAGGACCATTTTCAAATTTTCGTCTTGTTTAATTATGAGTAAATAATAAAATTAAAAATGTAACGGAAACGAGAATAAATACATTTAAAATAAAAGAAAATAAAACACACATTTACTGGCTTTGTGCATAGAATAATAGATAATACGTATCATATCGCACTTTGTTTACGGAAATCTAGCATGTATTCAACAATTCAATTCATGTACACAATAGCAAAAAAATAACTCTTAGGTTGAAACCTGAAAGTAGCTAGATATTTAAATAGAGTAGCTAGCTATATTCAAGAATGATCTAACTAAAACAACATACAAGCTGACTGCGACAGAAATAGCTAGTTAAGTCATAGAACCGGGTAGCTATTACTTTACAGTCAGTTACTATTAAAATAATTATTTTCATAGTGAATGATATGTAATCCAAAAATATAAAAGAATGTTTTGATTATTATATTAACTAGTGTTTATCTCGTGTGTTGTACGCAAAATGTGCAAGAGATGTAAAATGTTAGGGGCATGAGTGATTTATACTTGTTATATATTAACAAATTTTAATGGACTTTAACTATTATAAATAGATGAAATTCAAAATTTGAAGAAAAAGGTTTTAATGGAATTTACCTACTAAGTTTTTTTTTAAAAAAAAATTGAAAACTTGAAAATTTTTAAGTAATAAAGTATTCACTTAATATAATTAAATAATGAAATATTCAGTAAAAATTGAGATATATTAAACAGGTCGTGGGTCTCAAATCCCGTAGAAGATTTAGGATTGAAGTAGTTTTCATATTATACTCTTTTGGGCCTTAAATTTTTTCGAATGAGTGATTTACGCATGACCAATTTCTCACTATATATCATATTGTATTTTTTTTCAAAAAAGTTAATTAATTAAAGAAAATTTATTAATTATTTTTAGATTTTTTTTGTTAAGATTATGTGTACCAAACATTTAGATTTTTTTAATCCTAAGTCGAAATGTAAAACTGTTAATAAATAACAGTAATATCTAATTTTTTACATCAACTTAGTTAGACTTCTCAACTTAACGGTAATATCCACATCAGCGTTTTTCATCTTCTATTAATATATATAGATTGGATTTTTTCGGTAAATTAGTAAAAGATAATTGTAAAAAAGAATATACTAAAAAAAAAATTTTTTTTGGATCAAAAAAGTAATATTGTGGGTTGGATCGTTGGAGATGACAATACTGTAGCAGGTAAGAAAACAGCAAATTTGCTGGGGTGCAACAAATTGCTACTACTACACTAAAGATGCTAGTCTTGCTTGCATTGGAATACTGCATTTACGTACTCGTACAATACGTATTTGTTCCTCTCCCGACTCCTGTAAGTTATTTTGAGCTCGAATCCTGGATAGTATATTTTGAACTTTAAACAAATTACACTAATGATCAATCTATTTATTCTATGAGAGAAATTTCATTCATAACCTCATTAATGCACGTTGCAGGTATTATATTATTCTCAAAATAGAAATGGGAAATATTTTAGCAGATAATACATGGCCGGAAGAAAGGGGGAAAAGAAAAAAGAGGATGAAAATCGGAGACTAAAATCCACGAAGACATGAGTATACTTAAGTGATGAAGAAGAACAGAAAGCGCAGAACGAAAAGAAAGTGGGAAAATGAAAGATGCAGAAAGCAAGTAAACAAAAATGCCTTTTCAAAAAGTAAACAAAAATAAAAGTTTAAATTTTGAAATTGAGTCATGGGAAATTAAAGAGCAAGACAAAGAATTGGTTGAGTGTCTGCACGATCAAATTGGGAATCTACAATTGAGATTAAACTTGACAGCTAGAGGTGGGATTAAGAGCCCGGGGCTCAAAGTATTGTTGAGGAGAATTTAATGGGATCATGGGAGTAAAAGGAGACAGCCTATCTGGGAACCAGTCAACATTTGAAATCTCTCTCCAAAGTTTGATCATTCACTATCTCCGGTTTCATTCATCTATATATATTAAGAACCCAGATGAGAAACTGCCGTTTGGGGGAAATGGATAGATTGTTTCAGTGGAGGAAAATGGAGAGCGGGAAAGCACTTGCAGGTGCTGATCAGGCTGGGAATGGAGGCCCGGCGAAAGGTCCAGGCCCAAGTGCTGCCGGAGCCGGGAGAGCAAAGGGTGCTGGAGGAAGAACTGGCTCCGCCGGTCGGAAAAACGTGACCCGTTCGAAGAAGGCTGGGCTGGTGTTCCCGGTGGAAAGAATAGGCCGGTTCTTGAAGAAGGGAGGCTATGCGGATCGAATTGGATCCGGGGCTCCGGTCTACATGGATGCTGTGCTTGAATATATGGCTGCTGAGGTTCAATTTCAATCCTAACTTTAATCTGCCTTATCTGCTTTTTTTTTTTTTTTTTAATGTTGAAAAGACCATGTCGATGATAATGCTACTGTATGTGTATATCCCAAGCTTTCTGTATTGTCTTCTGAGAAAATTACTACTACCTCTGTCTTTCCCCTGTTTTTTGGTTAACGTTGGCGTTGGAAAATTGCATGGCAAAGTTTATTGATACAGTCTTCTATAGTATTCTGTCTCAACATTTAAGGTCTTGAATCTGGATCTATCCGAGTTTACCCGTGATTTTCACATTTTTTTGTTGCTTCACTAGTCGAAACAGTCATATAAAAAGTTGTCATACTCTGGTTATTCTGTTCAATTGTAATCTGTTTTTAGTCACATAGAAGGATGGCTTGGCTGCTTAAGTCCATTTGACACCTTGTATGCATGTGCATTTTTTGGGAAATTCTCATTGGTTCCGCTTCTGTATGAACTTGGTAGTGTAAACTGTAGCTGTTTGATGATCTAATTCCACTGTCTGGAATATCCATTGGATAGGAGATACCATCAAATAATTAAATTGAAAACTTCTGTGTGTTTATCATGATTGTGGACACCACGATGGACTAGAGCTGGTGTTGTAAAATTTGAACAATTTTTTTTTTAAGGCTGGAACCCCATCAAAGATGGGTAAATCCACGCCCACTGCAATAACCTGCAAACCACAGTGAGAAGTAAACTAGCATAGACAATTCCGGGGTGACAAACTCGAATACAAAATTGGGGGTTCATGAGTGAGTTTGCCATAACAAGTCCTTTAGAGGTGCCAATAGGTAAGGTTAAAGTCATTCCCTCACTCTTGTTGAAGTGGGACTTTGAATTCATGAACTTCTCTTGAGAGCAAGGTAGTTTTACCACTGAACCAACACTTCATTCGTAACTCTGAACAATTCATGGGAGTCATTTTTAGAGTCTTTTTTCGAGGCTTGATTTCTATAGTTGTGTGTGTGCCCTGTGTACGTAGCTTCTGGAGTTGGCTGGAAATGCCGCAAGAGATAACAAGAAGCTGAGGATCACACCGAGGCATTTGAAATTGGCTGTGGGTAAGGATGAAGAGCTTGATACTCTTCTCAAGGGTGTAGATTTTCGATGGTCGGGAGTAGTTCCTCACATCCACAAAGTCCTTGTGCCAAACAAGGATAGAGACTCCCAAGAGCTAGAGGAGGGAAAAGTGAAGTAAAAGATCGATGCAGCTAAAATCCCACCACAACCCCTAAAAGATTTCGTTTTCTCTATGAACAAATCGGAATTTGTTTTGCTTTTCAACCATATCGTGGGATTGTTTAATTTCTTGTCTCTTTGACTGTAAGGTTTCTGTTCAAGTAGTTCAGGTATCACTTTTGCGGGCACCTGATATCCGGCTAGCTTCACTACTAGAAATTGTTGTTCTGATGAACTTTTAATTTGAGTAGAAATGATCACTGGGATCAGTGTGAATGTTGAATGAACGTATGTTTTTCCTACTAAATGGCGTATCAAAGTTGACTATGTTTAGGGTTTCCCTGTTTTTGTATTCGTTTTTTTCATTGGTTTGGCTAGCTACTTACTTGAATGTGTTGGCCCATGAAAGGACCTGAACTAGTTGAGACTCCAATCGATTATGAATTTTCATAATCATTCATGTCATCAATTGGTATTTCTTTCTTTCTTTGTTTATTATTATTATTTTTTTTTTTGGTGTGCTTACTTTAATCCGTCTCGTTTGTTAATTTGTATAGTTTGTACCTAATGTTGGTTTTTTCTCCATAATTGTATGATTTTGCCTTCATTTGAACCATTTCCTTTGATTAAGCAATGTCATTTAACTATGTATGACAAATTCCTTTGTTTGGATTTCTTTACATGGTAGTATAGTTGATAGGTCACAAATAAAGGCCCAATGAATGTACATCATTCTACAATACGGAAAATGTAAGTTTAGTGGAAATTAATAGTGAAAAATGGGATAATAACTCTAATCTCTATCATTGTTCTTCCTACAATATTATATTCACATAATATTTGCTTAATTAATTCAACTAAGATGAGACACAACTAAATGTAAAAAGATAAAAGTCATTGGCTACTTTAACTTCAACCTTTTTCTTAGGAGTTAATAATCTTATATACAGTAAATTGTCCATAGATCCCCTAATATATATTTCATATGTTCTAAAAAAATTGCCGCTTTCAGAATTGTCCGCTTTGAGTTTTGAATTTTGTATAAAAAAAAAATGTTAAAATCTCAAAATTCAATAGAATACTTAATAACAAACATCTGCTTAAGTTAGATGTCTATTTTATTTCATTTTATACCAAATTTTTTTTCCTTTAAAAAAAAAAAAGAAAAATTGCTCACGAATCACCATCATTCATGAAATTTTACAATTCACGGTCAGCATCCTGTTTTGTTATGTTATCCATCGATGTGACAGTGGAAATGAAGTTTTTCCATTTAATTAGACTACTACCAATCTGGGAAGAGAACATCAAGAACAAGGTTGTAGTTAGACTTTTGCTATTGATGTGGGCTGTTAATGAATATTGGCACGCTTCACACGCTCTCTTACCCAACCTTCTTGTCTAATTTGGATTTAAATATTTATCTTAAATTTATATTAAAAATAAAAATTCAAACTGAATAATAATTTTCAGATAAAAAATATATGATACAAGACAACGAGGTAAATTTTTACTAAAAATCGAAAATGAAAAAATTCGTGAAAATTCAGAACCTCATATTTCCATCAACTTTTACTTCTTAGGGGGTCACAACATCATTACAATATGCTATATGCTTATATTTGATATTCTCTATGTTCAAGAAAAATAATCAAATTTGTTGAATTAAACACTATAAAAATGTAAATTAATTTTTGATAGTATGGATGAAATGGTAATTATTTAAATCTCAGTAGAAGAAAGTATAAGGGTCTTAAAATAAATTGAATTATAAGTTGTAATAGTATTATTTATTAGTTTTATTTTTATTTTTTTTGAAAGGAACCTTATTATTCTTGAAAGTTGGAATATATTATGAACACACCAAATTAAGCTGGCCTAGTACTTTATTTAAAACGAGAAAATCAGGGATAAGATATTTTGTGGGAGTATATAATGTCATGATCAATCACAGGTTGGTATTTAATCTAAACGGACTTATAAAAGGATCTGACATATCTGGACCGTCTATCTAAAAGAAAATCTAAGGTGTTGATTAGCTCCAGCTCATCGATCCCCCTGAAACCTCACGAACCAATTACAATCAAACTCGATTGCCTTTATAAACTTACGGCTTCCCCTCATAGAGAATAAGCGAGTGGTTACGAAACCCCAAGTACGATTCTAAAGAATCCAAAACCTCTACGTTGTTGTTTTCTACATTCATCTGAAATTTCCGATGGCAAAGGCAGAGAAGAAGCCGACGGCAGGGAAGAAGCCAGCGGTGAGCGAGGAGAAGAAGCCCTCCAAGGCAGAGAAGAAGATCCCGGCAAAAGACGCCGGCGCCGGCATCGATAAGAAGAAGAAGAAGGCCAAGAAGAGCAGCGAGACGTACAAGATTTACCTGTTCAAGGTGCTGAAACAGGTTCACCCTGACATTGGGATCTCCGGCAAGGCCATGGGAATCATGAACAGTTTCATCAACGATCTGTTTGAGAAATTGGCCCAGGAGTCGGCCCGCCTCGCTCGCTACAACAAGAAGCCCACCATCACCTCTCGGGAGATCCAGACGTCGGTGAAGCTTGTCCTTCCCGGCGAATTGGCTAAACACGCCGTTTCTGAAGGGACCAAGGCCGTCACCAAGTTCACCAGCGCTTGAGATTTTCGTTGGTTTTTTTTTATTTTTTATTTAATGGTTTCAAATAATTAGGAAGAATTCGTAGATATCTGATTGTTCATATCGTCAGATTATAGCATGGGATAGGTCGAAATGGTGATGGTTTGTTGGAATTGGAGGACAAAAGATTGTGATTAGGGATTAATCTTTTTAATTGATTCCTTAATTTTCGTTACGATTTGGTACATTTTTTAATTTTTCTTTTTTGTTTTGTTATTTCGGCGAGTAATGAGCACGTAACATAGACGACAGCAGACTAGCGCCGGCCTTAACCCCTAATGCAAGAGAGAAGGGAGTTATTTAATGACAAAACACTTCTTCAAATCTTTTTATTTTGCTTCTGGTGAGATCATTTTCACTTGTTCTGTTTTCTCTCTAACCACATTTACATGGCAACTCTGTTTTTCGCTAAACTGGTAATGCAAGAATGTGCAACACAAAATGAATTTGTAATGTGATGACCAACAATAAGTCCCCAGATGTGGTTCTGTATGTTTCTCCATTGTAGAGGCCAATGGAAAAGTTAATGCACTATAGCAACTACAGCAGCTGTATGTATCTAAAGCCCAAAAAAAAAAAAAAGAGGAGGTAGAACATCACAATCTAGTTCAAGCAGTGATATTGTGCTGGAATAGCACCCATGTACGGACTAATTAAGTCAATCCCAATCCAGGAAAAAAGAAAATGTAAAATGTATGCAAAATTGTAAAGACGCAACAGCCCCATTGGATAATAAGTCAAAAAGAGCCATTCTTGGCTGCTTACAAACAAAGAAACGTTAACAAATTACTAGTCTCGATGTTTTCTGTTTTTCGTTTTCTTTCTTCTCTTGGAAGAAATTTTTCAGGATGGCAAACTTGTGGTGTATCCTAAAAGTGTACTAGCAAATGAATATTTTTTCTGAGGATCAGCCATTTGAAGTCTTGACTCTTGATACAGTTTACCAAAGCTTGCAAGTGAGAACACAAATGTCAATCTCCATCGTAGTCATTAACCTGGATTGCCTGACTTCTTTATTTGGAGACCTTTGCACAAACTCATTGACAAGCTATCTACTGGAACCTGTCAATGTTAAGCACAGGTTGAGAACACGTGGCGTATACAGCACGGTAGAACCGCTAAGGCATTACGACAGAAACATAGAAAGTACCAAATAAGTTGCACATATAAATAAATGCAGATAATAAATGCAGATATCAATGCACAACAACTCTTCGGCTTGGAAACTATATCTTATGCATACACTCAGGCAGATATGTGCATCATCCAAATGCAAAATAATGAGCATCGAAATGCTAGTATCCAAGCAATGAGCACTAAAGTGCAAAGTAATTAGTTATTTAGGATGACCAAACTAACAAACAGGGGATTGCTAACAAGAAAACTCTAAATACAACAACATCAAAAAGCCTTTTTCCCACTAGGTGGGGAACAAGAAAAATCTAAATCACCCTAAAAATTCCTTCACAACTTCCTCACCAATAAATAAGTTAAGTTTTACATCCAAACTGTGACATCATGCCTTCTATAACAGGATGACATACAACATAAAGATAGTAAGATTTGATTGCAATAGATTTTTAGTCAAGCATTCCTTCTCGTCAATTTCCATTACAGAAAACTGATTAGCCAACATTTTGCAGCCAGAACAGGGATGGAAAAGTCAAACAAAGCCACTATGCACCAAGTCAAGTTTATAACTAAGAAATAACGAGGAGAGCCAATTATTATAGCTTGTGTGCATGCTGCTCCACAGTAGAAGTCCTTTGAACTTCCATAGCCATAAGCCACCGTACAATAACTGTATTTCCCATGAAGTGACCAGCAAATAAATTCTATTCTACTGTGTAAATTAATCCATAATTAACATTCACAAGCATCAGTCAATCCCTTAAAGCAGGGCCTGAGCTGATACACAAGGGCCTGAATTAAGTTCGATCAACAGCAGTTCAATTCCCTACCACACAGCTGAGAGAATCATCACACAAGTCAATTATATAGGGTTATACATTATAAAACTGTTCCTAATCACAGAAAGGAACAGATTGAGTGTTTCGGCGACAGAAAGGGAAGTTTCTAGGTGAACAATCTAATACCTAAAAAAGGCGTCTTTAACCTTACACACCGATTAATATGTATCTACATGCAACAATATGAAATTAAACAACTGTAGCAAGATTGTCGGTGCACTTTTACAGGTTTATGAAGTGAACATCATCTTTTTCCCAGTACAGAAACAATCACATATGCCTAGACATGTCAATAAAAAGTTCTACTGGACGATTTTAACTAAAAGCAACACTAATTAAAGACCCAGAAGAAAAGCCCCTTAAATTAATTTGCAAACAAGAAACTCTATGCAAGACAAACTACAATGTTTTTACGTAGCATAATAACACCAGTGGCTGTAACTGGCATCACGCATATGATTTCATCTTTAAATTGAGAATGCTCAATGGTTCAAGGTATCAATCAATCAATTATTAGACATATGCAAGGAGAAATAATCAATGTGAAACGACAATCACAGAAACATTCACATTCATCAATTAGATATTCATTGACGAAAGGGTAAAATGACTGCAGAATGAAACACACCTGGAGCCCGCATTGATATTTCGATGAAGAATACGACCATTACTAGACTCCTTAGAGTCAATTAGCTCCCTCAACCCCAAGGTAGCGACCTTCTTTTCATCTCCACTTTCATCATCATCACTATCATCACGATCAGCAACAGACTTCGCATACTTCTCCTGCTGCTTATTATCCTTCGTATCCTTCCTATTAACTCTCTCAAAGTGATTCCCATAAATATATTCAGGGGTATATCCATTTTCCTCATCGAACAGCATTATATGGCCGTGCCACTCCCAAACCCGATAATCCGAATCAGTATCTTCATGGAATCCAACACAAATATGGTGCTCGCCAATCGTCACGGCTTGGCCGGAATTGGGCTTCAGATCATCGGTCTTGCCGCTGCGGATGGTGCGAATTATGTCTTTCTCAAGCTTGGATTCCTCCTTCGCCAGCTGGCTTTTGGATGAAGAACCGAACTCGTCGTCGTCGGAGTCGGAATCGGACAGAAGCAAGTTGTTAAGGAGAGCCTCTTCGAGGGATTGAAGTTGGAAATTAGGATCGTCAACAGGAGGGGGAGGAGGGCGGACTTGAAGTCGACCCATCAGGGTTTGAAGGAGGAGGTTGTCGAAGTTTGGGGTTGGGGAATTGAAGGAGCTCATGCTGCCGGCGCCGGTGACCGTGGCGGTTTCGCGGTGGCGATGATGGTGAGGACGGACGGAGGGTTTTGATTTTTAGTGCGGCAGGGTTTTTGAGATATTATTCTTCGAGGGTTTTTGGTGAAACAGTTTTTTTTTTTTTTTTTTGTGTGTGTGGAGCTTTCAGATGATCATCATCCGCGAAATGAAAAAATAAAAAAAATTGTATTGCCCACTCATCCAGCCAGGTGGTAGTTGTGAACCAATGAGTTAACGACGCGTGTAAAAGTGGATCACTCATAAACCCAGATATTTTTTTTAGGGGATAACAATTTCTTTCGGGCCGAAGAGAGGGGATTACTATGACTGTATATGAACATAGAAAACTCTTGCTAAGTAGATTCGTTTAGTTTACAACGCGAACACGAAAAGAAGTAATACTAATAATGAAGGGTCCCCAGGTGAGATTCCAGTTTTGTTTGCATTTACACAAATACATCTTCTGCATCACATCCCCACACGTAATTTTACAAGTCAAATGTATATAATTCTCAGTCGGTGTTCCATTTCTTTGAAGTGAAACGTTCAAAGTTTGTACACCCTCAAGAGAAAAAACCGAAAAAATACAAATACATTTCAACAATGTTATTTTTCTTTGTTTTGCCAAAACCACTTTGGTAATGTTATTTCTTTCTGTTTTGCATGACTACTTGATATCTCTGTGTTTTGCAGTAATTTGACAGAAACAATAAGTATATGAATTTTAGGTAAACAAAGAATGAAGAACAAAAAGCCAAGTAGTCACCCTTCTTTTCGATTGCTCTGTATGTGTGGCTCGATTAAGAAAATAACATTGTAGTTATAGGGGCATTCCCACCAGGTCATCGGGGAAAAAACCATTGGTATCCAAATACACAAGTAGTATCACTATTGAACCTACTTTCAGTTCTTTTTCATCATCATCTACTAGCAAAATGAGTAGGCAAAATGACGCACTCTACAGAGTGCGCGAGCCTATTGAGGCACTATAATAGTGAGGAGAATCGATAGTATAAATCCATCTAAATACATAGTGTATATGGCACGAATGAATCTCGCAAACAAAATCCATCCTCTGAAGCAGGAGGCAAACTACCTCCTCAAGCTCTCCACTATATAATCCGCATAAAGGTCCCTATAAAAAGGAGAATAGAAAAGATAAGTGACTGGCTGAGTCCTGAGTCTAATTTCATCACTGGCTAAAATCACCTAAATAAGTAAAATCAACTCAATGTATCGAGAAAGGTCATGCATCTCTTACATGGAATGCTGCACAGCTTCATAGGCCTCGGTGGCAGACAGAAAGTCATTCACTGCAACCTCCTTATTCTCATTTTTCTTGTCTGATTAATCATTAAGGAAGCCAACAGAATGAAGAATGAATACAAAAAGAAGTAACAAATATTTGGCAATAAGACATTTGAGACAATATGCAACCATTTGAACAATAGAGAAGGATACAATCTTCAAAGAATCGTCTGATCTCAGCCAGGCGATGTGGCGGAAGCTCCTTAATGTCATTGTAATGTCGGTATTCAGGGTCATCAGCACAGACTGCAATGATCTTGTCATCTTTTTCTCCCTGTATGATGAATATGACGAGTATATATGTTATTTTAAAAGACACGATGCATATACTGTTACGAGGAAAAGTAAATCTTATTCATCAGTGGTTAACAGTACCTGATCAATCATGGGCATGACCCCGATAGCTTTAGCTCTGAGAAAACACCCCGGAAGAACTGGTTCCTGGTTGCACATATGTAGAATACTAAATCTTAGGAAGCATATGTTCAATAAAAACACCCTAAGTTCAAGAACCCTTGACAAGATCTTCAAACATTCTGTCAAGTACTTTGGCATATAGAGCACTACAACCAAATGGTTTTAAAGAGAGTAATTAACAAACTTCAGCACCATCACTTTCATTAGTATCAATTTGTATCTGTAGACGAGATATAATGAATATTCAATCTTAGACGTGTCTCAAGGCTTTCATGTAAAGTATAGTACACAGCATCAATGTATATATCAAAGAGCCCACATAGTTTGATAGAAGATCAATTAATGTTAAGTAATAGTATATCAGGAAAATATAAATAATGATTCTCATCAAACTCCAAAAGTAGATAAAATCCAAGATACCCAAGGAATAACACCTATGCTCCAATTATTCAAACACTTAGCACACATTTCATACCTGCATGATGACCAATACATCCAATGGATCGTTGTCCTCACAGAGAGTACGAGGGATGAAACCATAGTTATGTGGGTACACAACCGATGAATAAAGGACACGATCAACCTAACAATGAATACGGTAGTATCACTTATTACATCAACTATAAACTGGAAACATTTTCAAGAATCCAAAAAGTACCTTGATCAGCCCAGTTTTCTTGTCCAACTCATACTTCACCTTACTTCCCCTGCTGATCTCAATCACCTGCAATACCCAACAAGGTTAGTAGGAAGAAAAATTGATTTATGCATTATTATCAAGGAATGGGAAAAGGCAGGATGAAACTGCTAATGAACCAAATAAGGTAGCTTATAGAACTACATAAATTTCCAAAGGCTAAAATAAGTTCTTGCAGGAGGGGAATATTGATGAAATCCTAGGTGAGAACACAATTGCACTGACAAATGTAAACAAATCATGGCCCCAAGGGTTTGGATGTACAATGTGGAACATATACAACAGGACAAGCATGTTAAGTAGCTTGGGTACATAATGCTTTTACATTTCAGCTCTGGAGTGTTAGAAAAAGAAAACAAACAAAAACTTAAACATCCTTGCACGCACATCTAAAGGCTAACCACAAAAGGAGTTTATTGATTTGATCGGGACCATGAACAACAGATGAAACATGCACACAGGTTCAGAATACTTTAAATTCACTTTGATTGACCATGTTTTCTCAGATTCTCAGTATTTGTATCACTATCAGAAGCAGCAGAACGAAAAGATTGATAACCAATATCAGAAGGATTATAAGCCAAATACAACATAAATTCATAGCTGATGCACTGTTTAAAACACTACACCAAGGGCAAACTATATTGTAATTAACACATTAACAACGCAAGACTACTTTGAAGTTTAAAAAAAGCTATTCAATCTTCTTGATAATGGCATTTGTCCAAAAGCATTAACGTATCAAAACTCACATTCATCAGCAGTATTAGGACAGAGGTAAGCAAGTTAATGCACTTACACAGTTGAAAATCTTTGGAGCTTCAGGTCCGATCTCAAGATCATGCCAAGGATGGGCAGCAACAGATCTCCTGGTCATGGAAGAAAGGATCCTCTCGTTGAGAGGAGGATGAGGATGTGTGGAGTGATGAGGCAAGAGAGCTTTCATCGGAGTCTCAATCGGTGGAGTCATAGTTGCAATCTGCAGAGGCACACAAAAAAAATCAACACAACCACAGCAGACAGATTGATTGATCAATGAGATAGATGAAAAAACGAACAGCGGAAAAGGCCTAAAAAACAACAGAGTAAAAGCATAACAAATACAGTATTCTGCAAGAAAATCTCAATTACATATAAACTCGAATATTAGGCATAATCCGTAACATTCCAATGATCCGCATAAAACACAGAGAAACAAACAAACGAAAATCACGACGACAGACTTTTAAGCTTGAGTAATCCTATCAGATAGGTTAAAACGCAAAACTGCCGCACAATATCCCAAAGTACACCAAACAAAACACCAAAAATCGAAAGATCTAAGCCAAATGAACCGCAAAAATCAGTAAGGTAATACTACAACGCAGTCATACAAAACCAGGAAACAGAATAACTACAACATTTTAGCATTCAAAACCAAGGCTTAAACAGGGGAAATACCAAAAGCACAATACCCAGGATCCACACAAAGCGAAAAAATGAAACAGAGGAACTCGCTTACCCAAAGCAATCGGAGATGTTCGAACTATATGCAGAGGCGTGAATAAAAGCTTTCAACAGAAGGGGAAAAATAAAAAGCTCAGATCTCGATGATCAGCGTAAGATTGAAGCCGACAACGAATCACAGTAATGGAAACTTAAAGAGGAGAAAAGCAAAAAAACCCTAATAAGAGAGAGAGAGAGAGAGGAGAAAGCAGAAGTGACGTTGAGTAAAGGGAAGAAGCTCTCTTTCCCTCTATTAAGCTATGTATTGATTGATTGATGGATGATACAGAGGCAAAATGCGTTATGCGTTCCCGCTCTATATATGTACAGGCTTCTGGCATTTAAAGAGGCGCATTAAAAGGTTCTCTAGTTAACCCAAGACCAAAAACAAGTTAATACTATAATTTAGTTAAAAGAAGATTAAGTTTAACTTAATAAATTAAAAAAATGAGCCAAAAAGGAAGCTTCTTGTATTTCCCTTTATTATGGGAATCAGAAGATTCTCTGGGGTAAACCGAATAATCTTTCTCTCTGTTCTTAAACTTGACCTGCGTCCAACTGGCAGTCTACACGGACTAGTGGGACCGGGCTTGGACCTCGAAAGACCGTGACGGCTTTCCTAACGGTCGTAGCGGGGATTTTGGGGTCTGAAACTCTGAATAGACTAATTTCTTTATTTATGCCGTCGGTGACGGACGGTGACAAACTGCCGTTACAGTTGCGGATAACGATGGAGTGGCTGTCTCTATGTCTGATCGTGCCAAGGATATTGCCAAACTGAACATATCCAATAATCCAACGTATGTATTCACTCGGTCGTGTTGATCGCGCTCCATTTGTCTTCTCCATTTTGACATTTTAAAGTGCACTAAAAATTCACTCACTTTAGTTTTATTTGAAAATTCATTTAGTTCTATTTTTATTTGAAATGTTCTTCTTCTTTTAATCCGTTAATAAAAGCAATCAAAATGTCTTGCATCACATTGAATCAAAAAATGTTGTGGGTGAACTATGTTCATTGAAAATATTCACGACTAATATTCATTGAAGATTTTAAATAATATGCCATAAAATAAAATTTGACGTTCTATAAATATGGAATAGGAGTACTATAGTACTCTCTCTGTCCCAAAATTATTGTCCAGTTTGAGATTTCACTTCTAGTATAATTTGAACTAGAAATGAAAACTCAAACTGGACAATAATTATGGGACGAAGGGAGTACTATTTATATAGAGTCATCTCCTATGAGTGATGAGTCTTTAGTCTAATGACTGTGACTGTGGCAAATAATTGCTTACTCGATTTCATGATTTGTGTGATTGATGTTTTCCTATTTTCTGATTTGATCCGGGATATAGTAAAGGTAAGGTCGGTCTAATGAGCGCATTCATTTAATTCGGATTTTTTGACATGGCAACACGTGTCTGAAAATGAATCCACAATATCTTGCAAATTTGATTTCCCCTGTTCGGTCATATTTGATCAACGAATGAATATTACTTTTCTACCAAAAGAGAAAATTTTACTTTTCTACTCAATATTCAGGTACACAGTTTTATTTCACAATATAATAGTACGTCCTACAAACTCTACATCCACTAAATTAAATACATACTTGATTTGACGTCTACAATGCAGAATAGCAGATCTTATAATAATGCTGCTTCAAAGAACGTAAAGATCATTAGTGGTGTCCCATCACTACTTATTTTAAATGACATGTGACTAATAATCGTATTTTGCTAACACGGTAATTGGGCAAGGTTAATATGTACGCCAGGAAGAACATTCTCATTGTCTACCATATCAGGAATTGTTCGGTTCAACACGTGATGAACTGATTGCATTCTAAATCATGAGTCCTATTCACCAAACGATTGAATGAATAAAGCTGGAAACCATATATACAAAAAAAAAAAAAAAAAAGAAAAAAAAATGTGTATGGTGTGAATGTGTTGGCGTCAAAGCAACTTCTTAAAGTTTGTTGCTTGTACCAATGTATACAACAACACCACTTTAGGACATAATATTCCAACCGAATATAAAAATATCCTGTTAGTTGTTACATATTCCTCTGATGGTCTCTAATTCTCTATATCTTACAGTTGAATTGAAAATTTCTCCATATGTCCGGGCCTACCTGGAATGGGCTGGCACTTCTTTTTGACTTTCACATATCCGAGGTTACAATTTCATATTTCCGTCAAAACAACCGTGTTTGAGGAGATTGTATCTATTGGTGTAGTTGTAATTAACGCGTGCATCCACATCTTAGCGTGTTAATTGACATATTTTAACTTTTTTTATACTTATTATATTGAAACAGCGTTTTGCTTAGGCTGCATACCAATTCATTTAGAAGAAGTCGGACAATCAAAAACTAATTTTTTCTAAAGTATTGGTCAGGGACACTAAAACATGCACCTTCCGAAGAAATAGCTCTCTTATCTTAATTCTTAACTAATGAATTTGTGGGCTCATTTCCTTCGCTTCTAATATAAAAAATATTCTTTTTGTCCTAAAATTATTGTTGAGTTTACATTTTCACTATTAATATAATTTATATTATAAGAAAATCTAAACTAGATAATTATTTCAGGTCGGAAGATCATCTAATCAACAAATTATTGATTCTGATGAGCACATTTCTAGACATTGACATATTTCAATTGAACTCGATCTAAGGCCTGGCCTGTGAAGTTGGAAATGGTCCACTTACGCACCAGTTGACACTATTTTCACTTTTAAGATTTCAACGTAAGCGCAAGTTACGGCCCAACTAGATTGAGTTCACTGGACAATGTCCGAGTGAAGGACCCAGATAGAGAGGTAAGTTTCCCCGTGTTTGAACGTTTCCTAGAAACTGATCCAACAATGATGGAGGATTTTGTTTTTTGTTCCAACAACGTTGAATTTTCTTGCATTCACTCTTATGATCTTTAGTTTCAGTTAATGCCTAGGATGGTAAATATTACTAATCTTGAATGAGTATGTTTAGACAGTTCATAATATTGAGTGATAAATCCGAAGCGATAAATAGATTTTTCTAGACTATGCTAATTTATTACTACTAGCTACTAACATGATATACAATGACCTTACACATATTTGGATTAGTATCTGGATGTCACACGTGTATGGTTAGATCAATTAGGTAAATGCCAGTATTTTTCTTTGTCTTGAACTCTTCTGCAACAATTATTAAAATCAATGAGATTTGCTTTTAATTATGAACCTTTAAGATTTGCGCAAGCTCACAATTGATCAAATAGCCACATTTTTTTTATAAGAAAATAGCCAAGATGTTTTATTTTATTTTATTTAAAAAAAAAAACCATAAACGTCTTTTTAATGATTATTTCCGGCGGTGTTGATTAGTGATATTGAGATATTTCGATTTCCGACATTCACTTTTTTCATTACTAACACAGAAAATGTCAGGATCTCACCTACAAAAAAGTAATTTGTTGACCAAATTAGTCTATAATGGAATATTTTTCCCACCTCTAAACAATTTGGCGAGAATCTCCGTAAACTACATTTGTTTACCAATAAAAACTAGTATGTAACCCGTGCGATGCACGACGGGTATTAAGATATTATATTATATAATGTGTGTAAAATAATATAAATTGTAATGTCACAATTAAGTATAAAAATCGATTCACATTTTTATTGTGAAATTATCGCAATTGCGACTGGCCCTACCTCTTATTGCCTTCGTATAAAAGGATTCGGAATTGCCTTCGCTTAAGAAGAAAAACCAACAAGCCTTATTACGTATTAATTTTTATCTTTCTATTTTTATTTTGTTGACAGTCCATTGAACAAAAAAATAAAAAGAAAAAAAGAAACCAAACATTTACTTTTTTTTTTAAGAAAAATTCTTTAAAAGTATTACCTATCTCTGAAAGGTCTGTCTCTTAGGAGATCTCATTCCATTTTCATTTTCATCTTTAAAAGTATGTCACTTTATATTGTTCTGCATAAAAAAAAATTCAAGTCTCAGGTAAGTTAAAAACCAGCTATGGTTTTGGTTGCAATTTTAGTTTTTTTAACAATCTATTGAATAAAAAAAATTAAAAAACGAATAAGAAACGGTGAAACTCGTTCCATCTTCATTTTCTTCTTTTCATCTTCATTTTTGATAATCTGTTAAAGAAAAAAATGACCGAAGCATTATTTACTTGTCCAAAGAAAAATTATTCAAAAGTGTTATCTATTTACTTGTCAAAAGACATTTTCAGGTCTTCAACCCGTGGGGAGGGGAGGGAAGGGGCTGCATTTCAAACCTATTAAACACTATCACCATTAATCACCCCAAAATTTCAAATATTCTCAAATAAATTCATGCCTCATTTTTTTTAATCTATTTATCTACCGTTAAAAAAAATAAAAATTAGAAAGTAACTCAGATTTGATAGTGTAGAATAAATATCTGATATGTGATGGTCCATTATTGGGATTCTAAGAGGTTAAGGGAATTTTGGCTGCTATTTTAATAACTTTTGACAGCCCGTGAACAAAAACAAAAAAACCGGCAGATCTTTTTCTGTCTTCATTTTTATCTTTCTATCTATGTTTTCGACCACCCATTGAACACAAAAAAAAATAAATAAAAAGTTGAAACACTACTTACTTGTCCAAATTGTTTTCTAAAAGTGTTATCTACTTATAAAAGGACCGTCTTTGAATTTTTGATCTTATTCCAGCTTGATTTCCATCTTTAACAACATGTCATTTTGTATCGTCCTACTTAAAAGATTTCGAGTTTTTAGAGGTACGATAGTTTTGCTGTATTTAATTATTTTTTGACAACCCGTTGAAGATAAGAATAATAATAATAGTAATAATAATAAGAAAAAGAAGCGACAAATCTCATTCCGTCTTCATTTTCATCTTTCATCTTTGTTTTGTTAACAACCCGTTGAAACCCCCCTCAAAAAAAAAAAATCAAACATTAGTTACTTGTCCGAAGAGAAATTCTTCAAAAGTGTTATCTAATTATGAAAGAATCGTCTTTCAGTGGGTTTCATTCCATCTTTATTTTTATCTTTAATAATACGTCACTCTGTATTATTTTGATTAAAAGATTCTGATTGTTTGGTAGGTTGATAACAAATAATGGTTTTGGTGCAGTTTTAATATTTTTTTGACAATCTCTGTTGAACCACAAAAAAAAAAAAGGAATAAGAACTGAAAGATCTCATTCCATCTTCATTTTGACCTTTTCATCTTCGTTTTCGACAGCCTGTTGAACAAAAAAAAAAGATTAATAATGACCAATAACTTTTTACTTATCCAAAGAGAAATTCTTCTAAAGTGTTATTTAATTTCTTATCCAAAGAGATTTCAAGGTCTTGGACACGGTAAGCATATGCGTTTAGATAATAATCTTTGAATTTCATTTTGTTTTTATCACCATATACAAAAGAAAACAAAACTCGTTTTCTGATCTAAACCCGTCAAATACCATCACCACAAATCACCCCAAAATTTCAAATATTATCAAGTAAACTCATGTCACCTATATAAACTTACATCGTGTTTATCCATCTCTTTGTCTGCGGTTTACAAAAAAAATAAAAATTAGGAATAAAATCAAATTTGAATATGTAAAATAAATATCTAATTGTTGACAACCCATTATTAGGATATTTAAAGAAATATTGACAAAAAGGTGTAATGTAATTTCTTCCTCATTAAGATATCTTTCGCAAACCTTTGGAGTAGAGGGTCGAGTTCTTCTCAAGAGAGTTACCAATTTTCACATAGATTAACAAAACTAAATTAATTAATAATTTTTATTTTAATCTCTTCTAGTCAATATATTAATAATTCTTAAATCATGATTCTAATTAATTCTTAAAAATTATTGAAACCAATTGGGACCATTAGAACGTTCCTATTTTCAAATTATCAAATAGTCATAACACATATACAATTTATTATAGTCATTAATTCGTTATCAAATTAGTACAACCAATCCAGAAAAAAAAAGAAAAGAAAAAAGAGTAAGCAAGCATTCTTCGAATTAATATTGATTAGAAAATACTATAGCCACTATTTTTTTGTTTGAGTTAATTATTTTGTATCAGTTGTAAGAGTACATATCATAATACAATTTCAGATTTTTGTCCATATTTGGTATGGGCGGCTTTGTGTTAAATTAAACAATACTAACAGATCAAATGGCATTACTAATCGATATTTCTTTATGATAGCATAATAAATTAATAAAAGCTCTCCATAATTACACCAGAGGGTAATACTACTTTCATGGTTGTTTAAATTTATTGTGTTCGAACTTTTAATATAAATTTATGCCTTTTAGTTCCCTAAATATATTTTCGCAACAATTTCGTAATTAGCAAAAATATTGCAATATGGAAAGCATTTTTCACAAGTTCCATTATTTTGCTGTTTAAATCTCTATACGTATGGGCTCCCGACACGCATCCTGCTTTCGGGTCAACTTGAATTTAGCCCATAACAAAAAAGATAACTTATAAGGCACAATCGTCTTTGAAAGTGTAAAATTGACGAACTTGAATAACCATGTAGCACATCAATGGAGCTTTAAGGACCAAATTGATAACCAATTAAAAGTTTCAGCTTTCAAGTGCAAGGGTTCCTGGAGACATGGGGCTTTTTAGCAATTTTTAAAAATTTTCATCTTCAAACTCCCGATATGAAATTTTTCGGCCAAAAAAATATATTTGCCGGCCAAAGGGATCCCTGCCGTTGCACCCCGATCTCGCATTATGGTACACGGAACTCATCGTTTTTTAAGTCAAAATGATCCCCAATCAGAAAACCCATATCTCAATTCAGCCGATCCATGCTGGAATCAGAGCCAATGAGGTTGGAACCGAGAATCTTGCCGGGTTCTGTTGACACTTTATCTTCTGCCGTTCTGCTCTTCATCGTTCATCACTCACCGTTCTGTGGTTCATTGTTCATCCGTTTTACCGTTTCGCTCCATTCAACCACGCGAAACAATCCCCATGATGAACTCCAGTCATTCGCGGTGAGCTTATTAATAAATTCATAAAAAACCTTGTCTTCAACCTTGAGATTTGAAATCTCACACAGTCACACACAAAAGGGTTCCGTCGCTGAACTACAATATTGAATTCAGACTGTTAAAATTTACCGTTTTTTACACAAAAATGATCACCCAAAGAGTTCCACAAAACCCCTAAAAAAGGCAAAAAGATTAAATGGTAGCATGAAACATCAGTGTTTTTAGTCGGAAGTCGGATTTATGGTGATCATCACGATCGTGGATGTCATCAATGCTGAAGAAGTACAAATCAAATTAAAAGTATCCGTTCCTATTTATGTGTCTGACTAAAATTTTAAAACCATAAATATTAATTTATTTAAATTATACTCCCTCCATTCAAAAAAAAATAGTCCAGTTTAAAAATGTGCAAATTTTGTAATTTGGTCAACACACCAAATGTACAACTCATTTTATGCCCCTAATTTCTACTAATGCCCCTTCTAGTTATTTTTATAAAAGTTAACTACATATGTATTTATTTTACAACTTAAATTTGATCAAAATTTTTATTTCAAAAAATATTGATAATGGATCTTGATGGAAAGATTTCGTTACGTTGATTAATTTGATATATAACATATTTTTTTAATTATTCATGTATTAAAAGATATAATTATTTGAGAAAATGAGAGAAAACTAAAAAATGAAAATCAAAGGTAGTGTTACCACTACTCTTTTGGATATTTAAGTCATTTTAATTTAATTAATTTTGATTTTTTGAAATATGACTATTTTTTTGGGACAAGATTTTTTATTAAACTGGACTATTTTTGTGGGATGGAGGGAGTAATAAGTAAAATTTAGGATTTACTAGTTCACATAAAATTTTTACTGTCTAATGACCATCCAATGATTTAATGACATGTGTTTATGAAAATGTTGATGGCCATTTATCAAAAAAAAAGAAAAGAAAATGTTGATGGTCTGAATTGGCGACACGTGTAGATTATCTTTCTTTTCTTTAATTAATATATATATATATATAATGATTAGTTCAGCCCATAGTAAATATTTCCGGGATATTGTCCCCTTAATTTTCACTTGCTTGAAGCAGTAAAAAACTTGCTTCAATCAGTAAAAGAAGTTAATTTTTGAGTGGAGGAGGGAAGAAGTTTTTACTAGCACTATTTTTTTTAGCGCCGTGAATTGTGGGAAGGGAAAAGGGAACAAAATAATAAAAATAATAAAATATTCGACGGCCGACTGGTGCAGACGTTTTACATAGACGTATTCCCCTTAATAGCTTTTTTCCCTCCTATTTTTCCTCATCCCAATTTTATTAGATCTCTCTCTCCAATTTTCTTTTTTTTATAAAATTTTCGGCCCATTTGTCTCCGATCTGGTAAATATATAAAAATAAATAAATAAATACCCCCTTTATTTATGGTAAATAAATAAATAAAATTAATTTTGTACTGTTCAAATTTGAAAATTATTAGCAGCTGTTGCTGCATCATTTACTATATATTTTACAAAAATAAATAATAAATAGATAGATAAAATCTCAACAGGATTTACTCCCCCGGTTCGTGATTTGTTTTTCTAGGGTATCATCATCATCATCATCCATTTTCACCGGAGATCTAATCAAATCAGAGATATGGCTGCTCCGCCCGCTAGAGCTCGAGCCGACTACGATTACCTCATTAAACTCCTCTTGATCGGCGACAGCGGTGCGTTCCTTTTTGTTCTTTTTTGTTTTCTTTTCCCCCGTTCCCCGGCATTTGTGCATCTGGAATGCAATGGTGATATTTCCAATCTGTTTTTGTGAATCTTCTGCTAGGTTACGGTTGATGGAGTCGTCAATTATTTTATTTAAAATCTGTTTTCAATTTTTTTTGTTAATTGACTTATGTGATAGAGATGGGAGAATGTTGATGAGTTGATGATGTGATAATGCGAGATTCGTTCGCGCGTTTGTTTATTTCTGGTGTGCCATGGTTTTAAAGAGAATCGCCGGATGACTTCTTCATGTACTGATTTGCATTTGAAACACTTCTTCTCTGAGCTGTATAAGTTTATTAGTTTACTTCAATGTTTTAATGTGATTTGGTGGTTCAGGAGATTTATTGTTTTTCTAAATTGCCTAAATAATGCTTTTTATTCATTAATTCACTCAAAAACTTTGTTAGCTTTGATCAGATGTGAATGTTTAATGCTCGAATTACATCAGCTGCGATGTTTTGGGTCAGCTATTGGTTTCCTGTACTAGAATATAGGGGTTATGTTTAGTACATTCACCTTGCAAGTAGGCCAATGAGGTTGCTCTGCTCAAGCGATCAGTTCCTAAGCTTTACAGTTCTTGCTGTGGATGTTTTGGAGTTAGATGAAATATCAAACACAGGAATATGAATGACCTAGTCCCACAACAAACATGGAAATGGAGGAATAATAGTAGTCTATCATTTTTTAATTATGTTTTAATGTCAATATGGCCGTAACTTGTGTTTATATTTTGCAAAGCCGAACTCTAACTTGACTACCTTGGCCTTAGATCTGTGGGAGGGGTGCACTTCACTGGTTGATGTGTGGAGGATCATCACTTTCTTGCTGCTTTTCTATTTATTCATTTGTGGATGTTTTGGAAAGTTCTGATCTTTACTGCTAGTCTGGAGTATGGATAGTTCATTCCTTGTCCACTCATAAACTGTTGTTACTGTTGTTGAGTTTTACTTTTTTCCATGCCTAGTTTCGATCTTCCTTATATATGTTAATTCATGTTTTACAGGTGTGGGTAAGAGTTGCCTTCTTTTACGGTTCTCAGATGGTTCCTTCACCACCAGTTTTATCACAACTATTGGGTAAGTTTCCTATTATAGGAATATTTTCATCTATGGTTACTGTGAAAACTGCTTGTGACCCAAACTTCATGACACAGGATTGATTTTAAGATTCGAACCATTGAGCTGGATGGGAAACGTATCAAACTGCAAATCTGGGATACTGCAGGGCAGGAGCGCTTCAGAACTATCACCACTGGTGAGCGTTTAGTCTCTCTATTTCAATGCCTGCTTCATATTGTGGGTTGAGTATGAATCAAGAATGTTTTCTCAATTGCTTCAAATTTAAACAATTGTTGTTAGGATGAATATGTACTTTTGGATTCATTCCGAGATTATTGAAATAGTGTAGTATGATATTCATGTTAATAGAAGAAGGGGTTTCTTAAGACACGGTGTTTGGAAAGCAGCCAATCACAGCTAATCTTGCTTTCTTACTCTTATACTAAAATGTGGTTAACTTAAATGTCCTGATTTTCAGTAGTAGAACTTTCCTTGAGTGTATGTGTATCGTCTCTCCTTTTTTACGTTTTGTGAGATTCTTCACTTCCGAACCGGTGGAGTGTTATACATCTTACTTCTATTTACGTTCAATCTTGTTTAGCTTTTATTGTATTTCCCTTATTCCGCTAATTATAACTCTTTACATTGTGGACTCGAGCTTGTTTAGGTTGTCTGTCTTAGCTTTTACCGTATTCCCCTTATTTCGTTAATTTTCTTTATATGGTGGTTTTAATAAATAAATTCCTTCTATGCAGCTTACTATCGTGGGGCCATGGGTATTCTCCTTGTTTATGATGTGACCGACGAGTCTTCTTTCAACAGTAACCTCTCTTCTCTTCTTCCTGCTGTATATATTGCATGGACTATAGCACTTGCCTATTTGATAAGCACCAAGTGCTAGCCAGTTGGATTGTACAAGTGCTGAGTTGCCATTGCAGTAGTATGTGATAGTGTTGGTGTTGATAAACTTGACTATTGCATGCTGTATCATTGGCTTTATCACTTTGTAAACCTCCTACTTTGATTCTTCCTATCTACAGACATCAGGAATTGGATTCGTAATATTGAACAACATGCTTCTGACAATGTCAACAAAATATTGGTTGGTAATAAAGCTGACATGGATGAGAGCAAAAGGGTAATCTCTCTCTCTGTCTCTCAGAAACTAAATATATATACCTTGGGGAAAAACTTATTTGACTTACTGATTCAAGCTTTAGCTTAACTTGAATTTTCTCCTCTAGGCTGTTCCTACCTCCAAGGGTCAAGCCCTGGCTGATGAATATGGAATAAAGTTCTTTGAGACTGTAAGTTAAATTATGGTCTGGTTCCCTAATGTCTACCTTAGAGCTCTATCTAATACTATTGTCTCGTGCAGAGTGCAAAAACAAATTTGAATGTAGAGGAGGTTTTCTTTTCAATAGCTCGTGATATTAAGCAAAGACTTGCTGAAAGTGACTCCAAGAGTGAGGTATTACTTTCATCCAACACATCTTACTGATGGATACGTATCAGTTTTTCTTCTTTATCCTCTTCTGTTTCAAATCTGGCATAGTATGGAAAGTTGACATCCAATTTCCTGGTAAATGAATATCTAAACAGCAGTCGAAAAGTTACTGTACTGCTTACATTCTTTTGGATTGTTGTATGAGATCACTGCTTTCTTTCTAGATCAATCTCTTCCTCAGTGTGTCTGCTTACAATCTCTTGGATGGTTGTATGAGATCTGTGCTTTCTTTCTAGATCAATCTCTTCCTCAGCGTGGGAAAACAAAAGGATTTTGGAGTGTTTTTGCGAATTTGATGCGGGTACTTACTGATATGTCTTGTTTGTCTGCAGCCTCAATCCTCCTCCATCCATATAAACAAAGACCAGGGATCAGGGGCTGCTCAAGCTGCCCAGAAATCAGCATGCTGCGGTTCTTAAACATATCATTTCATCTAAATCTGGTTAGGAAGCTGTCGAAGAAGGAAACAAAATATTATGACGGCTACATATTTTGATGGTACTTTTCTCAGTGGAGTAGCTATCTTGTGGTGACGATAATGGATTTGCTTGTATTGTTCTGACTATCATTTATTTATTCAGTGCTTAGTTGTGTTATACTGGCAGCTTTTACTTGGAGGAAGAAGAAGTATATAAATTCTATCTGTTATTTGTTGAACAATTCTGCTCTGAACTAAAACCGAAAACGAAATCAGACTGGATATTTCTTTCTTTCATTGTCATAGCAAAGTACGCAGACATGATATCGTATCCAATTTTCAAACTGTTGTGTCGCATAGCGCTGTCAGGAAGCAGAATAGTTGTGGTTAATCAGTATTTCAAATTCATGTTTTTTTCTTTTACTTTTGTTCTTTCAGAGAATTGACAATTTGCATGTTACTCCATTGTGGTTTACGACTTTTAACCTTAAGGTATAATCGTGGAGCAATTACTTGTGGAAACAGAATTGGGGCCAATAGGTTAATCTTTCAAAAAGGTTCAGTACGGACAGCATGTTATAGACCCCAATTCTTCATGTATTCAGCTCATAGGCGGGCAAACATGAGATCCTGAATCCACCCATCTGTCTTCGAAATCAAAGCTGGATACACTCGGAACAAATTCTGCCCATGCATTTGCCCTTTGGTTCCTTGGTTCATAAAATTTTATCGATTAAATAGGATGATACTGCAAATGATGTGTTGGTTCACCGGACAAATCACTCTTACTTTTAAGAGGAGGTATGAGTTCAATTCCACAAATCAATAACTCTTACTTTTAAGAGGAGGTATGAGTTCAATCCCACAAATCAATAAGAGTGAGAGGTGAATATACTTTGCTCATTGACATTTTTAGAGAGCTTGTCATTGTGGATTCATACATAAATTCTCAATTTTGCATTCAATGTTGTCACCTCGAACTCGGCTAAAGTAATTTATCTTTCATCGTGGTTTACAAATTATTGCAATGAACCCATTTCTAGCAGAATTCTCATCGTTAAAAAAAAAATGGATGATATCAACCGAATTTCATCGCCTTATGTGCCCATTCTAAAGTTGAAATATGTATGTGCATCCAATTTTATGTACTAAGCAGCAAAATGTTTGGATTTTGTCCTCTTATCTATCCTTTGCTTTCTCTCAATCAATATGTATATATTGGGAGAAGAGATGAAGGAAAAGAATGACTTAATTGGAGGAATGCCATATGTTAAATTCAAACCGTTTAACTCATTGTTATTTAATTTTTGGCCAGAGACTTCCACACAACCATCCCCTCCTGTCACTACTGAGTATTATTGTTTTTGTTTGAACAATTCTGGTTGCGGGTGCATATATAAATCCATTTGGTGCAACGCACATTTTGGATATTCTCAAGTAACTTGAGTTATCTTTGATTACGTGCCACAACCAAAAGGCAAAAGCCTTGAAAATGGAGTTCGATTCCAAGCAAATTTTTATATCACAACGTTGTAATTGATTCGTGCTTGAGCTGCATTTCGGCAATTTGTCCTTTTGAAGTTGTGATACAGATGGCGCCACTAAAATCCCTGCGTGACTAAACCTCATCATTTGTTTATCAATTTCAATCTTTTGGGACAATATTGAAATTATTTTCCCATCAGAAGAAGAAAGGATTTAGTGCAAAAGTGACGAGGAACGTTTTACAAAAGAATTATTTATTAGTGAATGATTAAGAATCTTTTTAGTTCCGGACCATATCATTTTCTAAACAATCATATATTTGTGTTGCCTTTAATGCAATAATTGATAATAAAACCGAAAAAGAAGAGGAGGAGAAAATATCAATTCTTTTATGGTAGCTTTTTTGTTATTTGTTTTTTCACCTTCTCATTTAAATAAGAAAAAAAAGGGGGTTCATCGATCTTTTTCTTGACCCTTGACTCTTGAGCATCCTCTTTATTCTGACACAACATGAATTTATGTTTTTTTTTTTTTTGAGAATTAGTGTGTGGTTTTTGTTTTCAGTTTAAATAAAGTAGTAGAAGAAACAAATTGCGTGGATCATTTTTGTATATGAAAAAAACCATGGGTCAAGCAACCACAAAAGTCACTTTGCTACCAAGCTGTTTCATGAAAAACGCAAAAATGACCACATCTTATGATTTCGGGCCAGCGCTTTTTCTTCCTCCATCTTTTTTTTTTTTTTGTCCGAACCACCATATTGGAGTTCATTCGTTATACAAATCAAACTTTGAGCATTTTTTTGTTCTGATTTTATTTGTTACACTTCTATGTGCTATTCTAATATAACCAAATTTATTTTTTTGTTTGCAGTCTTCAAAGTTGAAGTTCAAACTCAAAATATCAAAAGCATAACTACTTCATTGAGTTCCTTCTTACAAAATGTGGAAAATAAACAAGTCATGATTATAACACGAGTCAGGATACACATCGGGGTACCTAGTGTCCTAGTGTTGGATCTTTGGCAATCTTTTGGTAGTGGATTTCCTCATAATTAAAAGAGAGATTACCCTTGTGTTATCGGAAACGTCAAGAAAATGAATTTAAGTACATTATTGAAAGACCTTTTGCCTTTGCTTGGTTTGACCAAGTACTGTAGTGACTTGATGAAACGACAAAGGTAGGCTTCTTTTATTTAGATCATCAAGACTTCCTTTACGACCAAAACTAAAGCAGAGAAAAAGATTTTGATGCAGATTGCTAAAAGAAGAAACTGAAAGCCACAAATCCTTGTTTTTAAAGTTTCTAGGATCGTTTTCGTTTTTTGTTCGGTTCTGCCCGTTTCTTGTTTGCTGCTTCAATGCTAGCGGTGCAGCACTTGTTCTTTCCATCACCATTTCTGGGTAAAAACTAAAAACTTCAGGAATTTTGTGATGCTTTCTCCTTTCGAGATCATAAAAAGTTGTTCACGCAAATACAATCGACACGTTTATTTCCACCATGCTCCAAACAGGTATTCGGATAGTGTTACGTGCAGAAGAGAGGAAAACATGACGACTGCATAAGAATTGATTGAAGATATTCGATACTAATCGCTGCATCCATCCTTGTTACATCATCTTTTTTTTTTTTTTCTTTCCACACCGTTTTAGATGCAACAACGTTACTATTAGAGCAAAGAAAGATGTAGATTTCGGCAGCCTGATTAAATTTTCTAGCACAGCTTGTCCCAAAAAAATCAATATGATCCGTCTGAAGAAAATTAAAAAAAAAGTAACCCAATTACTTTGACTAGCAGATTTTTTGCACGTTTAGGACTTGGGATCACTTTGCTAGTATAGGAATATGTCCTGCTGCTAACAGAAAAACCCAAAAGTGGGAATCACGAACAAACAAATTAGAGTTAGATATACGAATATGAAACGCTCATCGCTATGAAAGATATTAGGGATTATGAGACTAAGAGGAGTGACTTCATTTTGTTCTGGAATACACGGAATCATTCACATTCTTCCAGCTCTAGCTGGCCGACAATTTTATAACCACAGAATCGATGCTCTTTTGATTTTAATCCAAACTTGATTCTTTTTAAGGGATTTTGGTGGGATGTACATCTGAAACCACTAAGATATTCTTGCTGCTTTAGCAAACACATGTTTAATACATCACTGAATGGATTGGATATTCAACTATTCATCAGAATCAAAATGATCCATAACCACAAATATGGCAAAAAGTCACAACTCTGTTGTGTTCACCTTAGATAAACCACCTAAACAAATTCACCCCATAAAATGGGTGTATATATCACGTATCAGAGTACGATTCACAGATAATAGACATTTGTGCTCTGGTTGTAAAGAACTCAGATGAATGCCTGTAATGCATCATGGGCTCATTACTCGTAGCCATTACGGTCAAGTATGGCCTGAGAATTTTTGTCACCACCCATCACAGTGAAGAGCATTGTCCAATGAAAGAGCTTGAATTATTGTCACCAATAATTAATAAAGTTAATGATGATTTGCCTTTTCTTTTCAAACTTTCTGTTAGGTAGTTCGCCAAAACAATTTCACGTACGGAAAATGCATTTAAATAATCTTCACCATATCTGACTTTATTTCAGTCTAATGATGATACGATATTAAGGGCAAATTTTCAACTTATAAAAGTAACTTAGATTATTAGGCATTTTTCTGGAAACAAAATTGTAGTTAGTACATAAAGTTTTCTTCTTTTCTTTTTTTTTTTTTAAAAAATTAATTTCAATTCACATTATTTCAGCGTAGGAGTAGTAAAATATGCAAAACATACGCATACATGGTACTATTTCCTAATTAATATAAACTGATTGCTAATGCAGGTAGGTTGGTTAAATGACACCATTGGTGCATTTCCTATCAATAATCCATCGTTTCCAAAAGTAGATGATTAAAAAAATCACTAGGGTGCAATCATACGATAGCAATGGCATATTAATCTTACGTACCTAGGTTGATATGCCACTCACATCAAAACCACAGTATAGTAAATTTTGTTGTTCGTGCACCACATACTGGGGACATTGTTTATTGCTTGTACACATATGCATGCCATATTTGATTTGAGTATAATTTCAATGGAAAATGGATCGATGGTGCGTTTCCAATGCAGTAAGCACAAAGGAAAAACAACTTACTGGAATGCAGTGCCAAATACCTTATGTCTGGCTTATAAGGTGGGAAAGAATCATACTGACACTCAAGTTGGCAAATCTTGCTGCTCATGACCATCTGCAAGTAGTAGAATTAGAGTACAACAACAAATCCATTGCAACACCTCAGAAGGGGACGTGATTTTTAGCCGCCGCATTAGTCACAAAGCATTCTTATTATTGTTTTTACTACCATATAACCTGCTGTAATATGCAGCAAAAGAACCAAAGTTAAACAGGTGGCATCAAGTATTTTGATTACCCAAGTTTCCATTCCAAAAAATAAATAAATATCTTGTCATCAAGTTTTGCATCTATGAATAGGAGAAATCAAAGGTGCATTATTGTGGAGAATATCACATTAATAAAACATCAGTTTGTAGATTTCCACATTCCATAGTTTCATCGATTGAGATTAGACCAATGAAAATGTATCTCTATAGATAAAATTTCCTGCTTGCTGAAATAGGCTTAATAAATCAGCTAATAAAGTGTCAAAAAGGTAAGGGCCCATGTCCTATTACCTTGAGCCTTTATATAGTGCATAAGGTAAGCTCAAACAATGGGATCTATGACATTAGGATCCTCGTTGGTGGGCACTTGCTTATTCAATTGAGTTCCTTTCCAAGGAATAGAAAGATTGAAAGTAACTGCAAATAAATTTTGTTCTGGCTTTAAGCTAGTTGATCTCGAATATTGCAGTATATAGAAGAGAGCTTAGCTACCTTTCTCAACCACCTAAAACACAGAGAGATTATGGCAAGCGAGAAAAGTAACAAGTTTCTTACCAGGGTAAAACCCTTTGCGGCTGTAATCTTTCTGCAATTTGGGCTTGCAGGAATGGATCTCATATCCAAAGCTGCACTTAACGAAGGAATGAGCAATTATGTATTTGTGGTTTACCGCCATGCTGTTGCCACGGCTGTCATTGCCCCTTTTGCCATCATCCTGGACAAGTAAATTTCTCTCACGTAAAAATGTATTTCACTGTCTACGTAAAACTTGTCTATTGTGCACTGAACAAAACCAAACATTTTCAACAGGAAAATAAGACCAAAGATGACCCTCTCAACTTTTGTCAAACTCATGGTTCTCAGCCTACTTGAGTAAGTGCTGCTAATCAAATATGGTAGCTTATGTCTGATCAAATTTAGAATAGTTGCTAATCATGTCTCTTCATTTACAGACCAGTCATAGACCAGAATCTCTACTTCTTGGGCATGAAATACACTACAGCTACGTTTGCTGCAGCAATGTGCAACATTCTACCGGCGATAACGTTTGTGATGGCTTGGTTATTCAGGTAATAACCACATCCATGCTTATTATGAAAGATGCAAAAATTCAGCAGCATGCATGATACAACAATACATAAGCAGGCAATAGTAAAAACCAAGTACTTGCTTTTCTACGTGAGAAGATAGTCCATACATGCTATATAGAATTTAACTCATACTCAATTTAGGCTTGAAAAGGTGAAGTTTAAGAGCATCAATAGCCAAGCAAAGATAGTTGGAACTCTTGCCACAGTTGGAGGAGCCATGATCATGACTTTAGTAAGAGGACCCAACCTCCACCTTCCGTGGACAGAAGGAACTGGCAGTCAGGTACATCAAACTGGTGTCATCGACCTTCAACATGCAATCAAAGGTGCGGTGTTTATTACAATAGGATGTTTGAGCTGGGGTTGCTTCATGATCTTGCAAGTAAGAAATTGACTGACTCTGTTGAATTAAGAACTTGTCATGTAACATGATAAATTAATTTCTTTCCCTACCATCCCAGGCAATTACTCTGAAAACATATCCAGCAGAGCTCTCTCTCACTGCTTGGATATGCACTCTGGGAACCGCTGAGGGAGCTGTAGTGGCACTAATAATGGAAAGGGGAAATGCTGCAGTATGGTCCATCAATTGGGATACAAAATTCCTCGCAGCTTTATATAGCGTAAGAGAATGGTCCTTATGGATCTATAATATTGAATATTTAATATGATTGGAAAACAATATCCACTAATAAGGAAAATAAGTAAATCTAATCATTTAGTTATTCCATCATAAGGATCTAGTTCACTGCCAAAGTTTTGAGGATTGAGCATGGTCAGCGAGAGTGTCTTAAAGTGAAAGGAATCTTAGTTACTGGTATCAAGGGAAAATTCTGATCAATAACAAAGTCACTACACTAAAGAAACACTACACCAGATTGTTGCTGTTCTACGAACCAAATTACAGCACTTGATTTGCTGATAACACTACTTGTTTAATTCACTGATTTTGAAATTACATATATTCAGGGAGTGTTTTGTTCAGGGCTCGCATATTACATCCAAGGAATAGTCATGAAGGAAAGAGGGCCTGTTTTTGTTACAAGTTTTAGTCCATTAAGCATGGTCATTGTTGCTATCTTGAGCTCTTTCATTCTGCGAGAAATACTGTACCTCGGAAGGTAATCATTAAAGTGTTTACTACAAATGGAGTTTGTACCTAGTGAACCACAAATACAAAGCTAACACCATTCTTTACAGGCTGATGGGAGCCATGGTTATTGTTGCTGGTCTATATCTGGTTGTTTGGGGCAAAAGAAAGGATTATGAGTCACCATCCATTGAAGATTTATCCTCTGATGAGCAAATGACAAATGCAAACAGTACAAATAAAGAGAATTTCAATCACGAGGTCATTACAATTGATATACCTAAAGAGGGGACTTTCAGTACAGATGGAGTAAGAGCCCAAAAAACTGCATCCTAGCTTCTAAATGTGCCTTCTGAAATGACACTTAACTCCAAATTCCTTATTCATGATGGGGAAAATGGAAGGTTCTCTTCCCTAGTATCCTTTGTAGTCTTCTACGTGACAAGACCGCAAGACGGATAACGTAATGGCAGCAAATAAGGCGAAGAATCACCTAACTAATACAATGTTTCTTTATATATCACGTTAAGAGAGACATTATTGAGCTCAGTGTTGATGATATCGAGGTTCCCTTTGTCATGCCTTGGTTTTAAACAACAGCATGCACACGAAATTTAAAGCAAATATCAGGCAACCATTGGTTTATTGTTGTTATTGCCGACGTCCAGATTTGTGTGTCTATAGCTAGAACATCTATATGTTCCGTGGCTCTGTATTCTCAATGATAAACGTTTTAGCATTCAATGACAAGAGACTACTCTAACGTCAATTTATTGAAACTTCACATACAAACTGTTTTCTGTGGTTTTAAATAAGCATGTGGTAAATTCCCCAAAATAAACTTGGCCAAATAACAAATGTTTCCTATTAATTTTGCAATTTCATCTTAACTCTGTGGAAGAAAAATTCCCCTTCACCACAAGGAGGATTCAGAAGAGCGATAATTATCAAGAGGACTAGCTTCAGTTATATATTCTTTAATGGAAAAAGGAATAGGTGCTTCCAGCGCCAATGCTGCACCAAACAAGAGTATCTTATACTAGTTTAAAATAATTGTATACCATTTTTATATATTCTATAATTTTTAAAAAAAAATTGCAGAAAAGAACACGGATGTGGACCATGTGGTAATTCCAAAAAAGTAAGAACTTTGAGAAAGATATGGACGAATAAATGAAGCAAAATCTGTTTAGGAAAAAAAAAATGATAACTGTTTTCATAGGCAGAAGGTACAAAGACATTTGGATGTTGGGTAGTCCAACATTATATACTTCAAATATCAATCTTTTAGAGTTCCGTTAATGGCCTTTGTCATTCTCCAGTTATATGTAATCAACTCAAATTCAAGTTTGTCAGTTAGCTGAGATAACAACAGAGAACCCTTAGTACATGTGGAGCTCCAGAATTAGTAACTTAGTACGTTTGTTTCGTTTCTTTAGTGTGTGTTTTTAGGTGTTTTTGGTATTGGGAATGTAAAAAGATGTATTGGAAATGTTAAAAGGTATGGTGGGATGGGACAATTATTATTATTTAATTAGGAAACAACCAACTAAAAAAGAAAACAAACTAGTATCACAATTAGGGACCAAGACTTCTTAATTTTCTAGAGTTGAAAAACATTGAGTATCATATCAATCGGGATATTGAACAAGACCAACAGCTCAAGAAAATGCAGCAATACAATCCCAAAGCCATCTTATCACTAAACTAGCATATTGAAGTGAAGGAAGAGACTCCATCAGAGTCAGAGGTCCGAGCTAATTTCCCGCAGAGTAAATTTTCAGGTATCAAACAGAACAAAAAGTTTTAAGGAAATGGAACAGTGCTTTCATGAGGCATTCAGATCCACAGAGCAAGCGCAAATAAAGTGGACGATGATCCAATACAGAGACAGACGCTGTCAAATTATCAAATGGCTTGTCTGCAAGTAGCTATGCAATATTCCAGAAGTTCAGAAAGAAAAATAAATTGCGATCCATAAAATCGAGATCAGCAATATGCATTCAATTGCTATCAGAAACCGAAAACAACAACAATAATTAAGAATCGAGTAAGAAAACAACGAGTACTCCATAAGAAAAAGAAGAACGAAAATCTAAAACCGTAAAATGATCTGCTGAATTAGGGAAATAGCAGGCATTAAATTAATCGAACGGCGGAGACTAACGTAACAATTAGCTCCGGCAAGTGAACTCTCTAACCTTGGAACTTAATGTCCTCCGGCAAAATGAATATGCTCCCGCCGGTGAACCAAACATGGTCATCATCAGTGAATCAGTAAAGCTAGGAAGGGAGGTGGTGTTCGGAATCGAAGAGGTGGATAAAAGTCGCTAAAAGCTTTAAGCGAGAATCGGAATCCTTTGGTTTTGGTGGTGCTGGTGCGCTGCATTGTGCAGTTCAGTAACTTTGCTGCAGCCAGCAAATTCGCTTTAATTTTATTTTTTTTTGGTTTTTGGGTCCAATATATTTTCCCTCCAAAAGAGGTTCGAATTACTATTACATTCTTTGGCGGTCAAAGCTAAATGATATCCGGGCTGATGTTGGCCCATTGGGCCAGGATTAACAACATCTTATAAAAATAATTAAAAGGAGAAGAAAAATATGAACGCTCCCTCCTGTTTTCTTTGGAAGGAAAAACGAATTTTGATCGACTTGGTGTGGATTCGCTTAATACGGAAAGAGGTATAAAAAAATGAGAATAATAACGCAAGATTTCCGGAAACCACTACGACATTGTGTAAAATGAGCAAAAATATGTGCAAAATCATGGACCAAAACTGATTCGTCAATTAATTTTTCAACTGTGTGTTAATCACATTGTGGCTTTTGCTTCATAAAAAGGAAAATAGTATTACATTTTAGAGTCCTCTCATTCGTAAAAAAACACCATTGAGAAGTGCTAATGAACTACTGACAAAATTGAAAAGAGGCTATAAGGAGCCCATAAAAATATGGACAGGCCCCAAACTACCTCACAAAAACATTGTTTTGCCCACTCCCACATTCCATTTACAAGCCCAACCTCCATCACTACTTTCATCCAAAGAAAGTTTAAAAACAAAAAAAAAAAAAATTTAGCCCCAAAGCACACTAAACTAACCAACTATGCGAAAAAAGCTGAACCGCAACAATCCTCTCGCTTCCAAAGGCTGAGCAATTCAGAAAAATTCAGGCAATCTCTTTCTCTCTTGCGCATTCCATCAAACACATGCTCCCCAATATACAGTCTTCCCCCACCAAAAAGAAAGAGAACCCAACAAGGATCAAAGCCATCATTCGCACACAAAACGATCTCACGTTTGTTTATGTCTCAGAAATCCCACTGGCACTGTTGCACGTCTTGAAGCCGCATGCTCGGGCGTTATGATTAACTGGTATACAAACCAAAAACATGCCAGAATCCAGCAACTTAGCCCTTGTGGGATGTTAAGCCAATTATGGACTTTGATTTCCGAGCTTCAATTCGCTAAAGCCAAATGCATTTTTGTTTTTTTTTTTTTTGTGACTTTTTTCTCCCATTTTCTGTACAAATTGTGAAATATATGTAGCATACACTAACTTGTTGTGAGTTTCAGCAGAGGAGCGGTCTGTATGAATTTTGCATCTTTGGACAAAATTAAGAACTCCTCAGCTTGGAATCTGGCTGATGCAGAGGTATTGTTGGTGTTAGAACCAATTGATGATGCGGCTTTATCATAGTAATTGGTTTGAGCTGCATTTACTTGAACCAAGAACAGTGATGAAACTGGTCTGTGATCTGAAAATTTTGATTCCCCTCTTTCATACCACATTTGCTTCAATCCCTCTCCTTTCCACAATATTCTGTCGCACCTGCATGTCATTTTTTCAAATCCAGGAATCAAATTAATTAGGGTTCAATGTAAAGATATAGGAAGAAATTAATTAATGCAATCATTAAATGTACTATGTTATTTTCGTGGTACTACAAACCTACAAGAATGATGCACGATGGACTGAAGGAGGTAAGGCATTAGATCAGCATATCACTAATTGGTTCACAAATCCTTTCAGTATTCAGGTTTGTGATTAGTTAGTTATCTCATCACTGTGTGGTATGCTAATCAGAAAATTAAGTTCATGAGTAGGGCTACACTCATAATTAAAAGAAAAGTTAAACTTCATTTAATCATATGATTATCGTTTTTAAAATAGAAAGGGTCGGTGCGAATCGCCAACCATTTTTGAGATTAACATATCAAGTACTTTAATTAGTTGTAATATAAAACATTATCAGCGATATTAGTGGGTCATTTGTTGTTTTGTTAGTCTGTCAACTTAAAGCTGCTTAGGTTTATGGCTTAGCAAAGGTACTCCAATAATTACTTTCCGCAAAGGGAACAGATAGAACAAATTCTTTGCAATTATTTTCAGATTATATTATATTCGTGTTGGTACTAATCTGTGGAGGAAAACTTCTCGTTCAACAAAACCATGTTTTTTGTCAAACCAGCGTCGAATTCAAACGACCCATTAAATGGGAATTCATTAAAAAATTATTAGATTCCTCAATGTCAACCCCACACATGCATAAAGATTTCAAACCATAAGTCAAGAAGCATGCCAAGGTAGAATACAACTAAATAAGAGAACCTGATTGGCTATAGAAAATACTTGCATTTTCACGTGCAATGCGCACCATGCATATTATTTGACTACAGGAGTTTGAAGACGATTCATTTTTTAGATAAAAAAAAATGCATGAAGGACCCTAGATTGCTAACCAGACAAGCAAATGCAGAAATTTCGTGTGTCTACTACGTTAGATCCATGAAATTTGCGGTCAGAAGACTTAGGACCCACGACATATATAGCAATGGATGACATATTCACTGACGCCAATCTACATAATGGAATTATTAAAATAAAAAAAAAATTGTTGGAATGTAATTTGGATTTCTTACCAGGCGGGAGTTCTTCGCCTCTCTTTAGATGTGGATGTTTGAACAACGTAATCGTCGGAATCTTTTCTGTATTTGTACGTTGGAGCGAATTGAATCTTCCCTTCTTCCCAACCTTTGAATACACGACCAGCTTTTTGTTCGATTCTTAACTGTCAAATTGAAATTAATAATTATTTTAAAGTTAGACAGTCAATAATTATTTTAACTTAGTTTGTTATTCCCGAGATTAGAATCTTAAAGTTAGAACAAACAAACTGAAATTAATCATAATGAGTACCAGTTATTTACCTGATCTTTCTCAAGGAGGGTTTGCCAATCATTCCTTTTGAGAAGCTCAATTGCGTCTCCACCATTAGGTGCAAGTCGATAGTTCAAATCTCCTAGCCAAATTATCTTTCTGCATTCAATAATTCATGAATTAGTTAGACAGAGGGACATTGAGTATTTGAGTTGGAAGTCAAACATGATGTTAACTAAATAAAACAGTTTTTTTTTTTTTTTACCAAATCATTTGACTTACTCATGATCTAAAATTCCCTCGGGCAGAACAGGTAGTTGACCTTTTAGTCTCAATGGGTGACAAAACCTGGTTTTCCTCAAAATATCAACAACATCGGAATTCCTTTTGATCTCGTCACCTTCTTTCTCTCCAGATGCCAAGTGAGTACACACGAAGCAGAAACTAGTGTGAAGCAGTATCATGCTGATTGATATTGATCCCTACAGTACATTATATAAAAATGTACACCATTTCGTCAAGGAATCAATATAAAACAAACATGAACCAAAAAAAAAAAAAATTTCTATAAGCTTCATTCCCGCCTCAAGTGAGTTCAAACTTGTTCCGGAAATCCTACCTTATTTCCGAGGTATCCCATGATGCCGGTTCCGACGCATGAAACCTTCAAACTTGAAATGTGCGGTCGGAGATCTGAACGAACCCACACACATAAAAATAATCCCACCATCTGTTTGCTTGCAGCCAGACAATATTTAGGTTTCCTTTGACTAACTGAAGCTTCTTGGTCCGGCGCTTGTTCTTTTTCCAATGAGAGTAAGTCCGAGAAGCTGATCCGTTGACTTACAACGTCGGGTTCTTGGTCGGATGAAGATTGTGAAAATGAATTGTTTAGCCGGGATTCGCCGGAAGTATCAACTCCGGCGCAGTCGTGACCATTTAACTCTTGCCGGATTAGGGAAAGCCATTTTGCTGCTGGACCGTTGTCCTCGGCTCCCAGTACGTTTCCGGCATTCAGAGGGACAACTTCCTGAAAGCTGAAACGTCGGAAGAAAGGATATTTTATTATTATTATTATTATGCTTCTTGATTTGACTTTGCGACTAATTTATTAAGAAGCCATTGTTAGTAAAATGTAGTATTTGTTTTTCTTTTGTTAGTAGCCTAGCCACTAATTAATGTCATTTTTAAACAAAGATTCTGGATTAAATTGCTTCATAGTTCATGCACACAAATAAACCCACAATGTCAGTAATGTTTTACAACTCCTTTTCGTTAATTTATGTTCTAGTTGTCAAGCATGTGTATATTAATTCATGTCATGAGACACAAAACACTATTCCTTTCTTATTTTGAAAATCCTAAACCATTTACTCTATCGAACCTAAAACAACAAAAAAGAGTTACGTAAAAGTTGTGAACCAAAAATCTACCAAGTTGGTCTCCTTTTTCCATAAGGTTACAAATGACATATGGAATTATATGACAATTATAAGAAGGCTATTTACACATATCTCATTCTTGTAAGTTTTCATCAACTTGCATGGAAAAGCAATGGATGTGATGCCATTTGGTGTTAGAGTGATTTTGACTTTTTTAGTTTCCAAGTGAAGAAAAATACATACCCAAGGACATATATGTCCGCTGGTGTAGGTGTTCTCAGCCAATCACCTAAAGTCAACCCATCATGGGGTGCCTTGCCACCAACGTTCCACGTCCCTACGAACATCCTATTTTGGAAAAAAAAAAAAAACCCAAAGCATTAATATCAACCATCAATTGGAGCAATACGCATCACATAACAAATATCATACACCATTCATCACGATAGAGATGCCATAATCTTCAGTGTAAAAACATTGACAAAATACGAACCGTTCTGTACATATACAACAACAACGTCACGTTCTTTAACCAAATTGATGCACTACATCATGTATTGTTTCCAGAAGTGTTTAATGTCTACTTCCTTAGAAATACTCGATCGTTCCGATTTTTTTTTTCTTTTCTCTTTCTGTCGATTAATATAACAAAAAAATAATTATTTTTGAATCGGGAAAATAAATAACATGACCAAAAAAAAGAAGAAAACTCTAAGAAAGGCGACTGGTAATTTCCTTTCAGTATGCACTATGAGAAACTAGCACTTCTCTATCTCAATGTTTTTGTGTAGCACATGTGACGTCACATGCGCAGTCCATTATATTCAATGTAACAGTATATCGATGTTTCATATGATAATCATTAAGACACATGGTTTAAGAGTACGAAATTAATGAAATGATTAATTTAGAAACTACCATTTTATATAGCCGTGATTAAAAACAAAACTAAAATAAGGGAAACAAATTACTAATAAAGCCATAAACGGAAAAGGGAACTCGGGAACAGATGGCCTGAAAATTGAAATCTTCATATTCGTCTCACCTGAGATTGCGATCATCAATCGCCGATGGTCCGTCATCTTCAACACTTGGGCGTTCGATGCCATCACGTTCTTCAATCAAGGAGCCTTCAAATTAACAGATCAAAGATCAATAGTTCGTTGGTTGTATTCACAGTACACATTTCCAAGAAAAAGTTTATCTTGCAAATTTACGGATATTATTGAGTTATTATTTCAAACTAGAATCCGGTGGTTCAACTGCAAATTGTGTTATTCAGATTTCAGCCAGTCAATCGACGGCCGGCGACGTAGACCGCCCGCCGCCGCCGCCGTACTACATCTTTAAATTCTTGATACGGAAGACATAAATGAGCTACAAGTGGAGGTTGACAGCATGGATTCACCTGAAAGTGACAACTGAAAGTCTTCTTCTTACCTGTGATTTCCTCCGGTACGACCACGTATGACCCTTGATCCGAACAACTCTTCCTTCTCCTCTCAACTTTCTCCACCTTGCCTGATCCGGTAAAAAAAAAATGGCCCCACGTGTTAAAACCAGGTGTTAACAACATTCACAATGTAGCAATTAAAAAGAATTCTTCACAATCTTCATCATATCTGGAAAATCGAAAAATGGAAATCGATCCCTGACCCGTTATCGCATAATCGGAAAGATATTCATCGGGACAGCTCTTCATATTCAACAATTTCTTGACAACAAGCTTTGGCCATGAGGCCTGCAACGGATTCTCAAAATGGTTAACTCTCTGAACAATGGCCGGTATACTTAAAAAAACTTGATCCATGTGTTTACAAAAATGGGTTACCTTGGAAATCTTCTGCTCTTTTCTCATTGTTGGTTTGGTTCTACAATTGCATCCAATGAAAGCTGCAATAGAGAGAAAAGAGAGGCAAGTTTAAGTTTGGGGGTAATTTGGAATGAAGCCCAATAGATATTGATGAGTCGGTAAGATATGCTAATATAGAATGATTAAATATATAAGTCTGTCTGAAAATATTATTTATGTGGATGGAAACATTAGGAAGAAGGGGGGCAGAAATATGTCCTAGACCAAGTGATCAGTGATGAATTGAATAATGAAATAACAATAGTTAAAAAAGAACAATTTGTAGGGGAACTGGAGACAGGCTCTGAGTAAAGAAACAGAGGAGTTAACTGGTTAAGGGGAAATGTTGTTTAGACTTCAGAGTCTAACATAGTTCAAAAACCAGTTGTATTTAAATACTGATTAAATGGGATACATAAATACGGGAGAAAAAAAATATGGAAGGAAGAAAGAGGTCAGTAAGTTCCTTTTTCTTGAAGAGAACAGTATTATTGTTAAGAGGGGACTTTACAGAGAGGTTAGAATGACAGAGTGGAGAAGATGATCAGAAATATAAAGAAGACAGGGGAAAAGAGACTTTCTAAACACTTTTTTTTTTTTTTTTTTTTGCTTCTTTAGAAGTTGGAGACCAAATCTTGATTCATTTATTCTGATCATATTAAAAATCCATTAATGGGAAAAAAATGGGTCACCTTTTTAGAGGTCATCCCACTTCAAACTACTTGTTAAGATAGAATAAGGTATCAAAACATTAGGAATAAACAGAGTATAGTAAACACGCATCAAACGCGAATTAACACATCCAAAACACGAATCGTAATCCATAATGATGATGAGGAGTGAATCATGAAGCTTAAAATCTTTGAATCCGTTGATGATTTTAGTCAAGTATTCAAATTCAGACCATGTATATCTTGGACTTGTTCTATGGTTGGGAAAAAACTCAAAAAGGGATTGAAAAACAGAGGAAGAAACAGGGGAGGGGCAGGACCACAGATGGTTAAAAATTGATGCAAAATCAATCCAAATTGGCATAGAGATGCAGAAATGCTGCAAATCCGAGAATGGTACAGTTATCGAACGTGGTCAACTGCATTGCTGATTGTACAAGAAAGCAAGCAACTAAGTAGAAGAAGAAGAAGTTGAATTCAATTGGTCGCTTTTTGGAGTGTGATTGAAGAATAAAAGCTCGGAAATTCATGACAACAAAAAAAAATTAACACACTTACATTAGTTAAAAAAAAAAAGAAAACAGAGGACTTAAGAGATGAGTTGTGCGACTTACGATAACTGTTGTGCGAGAAAATCCTTTTTCCTTTTGGGCTGTTTAGTTAGTCCACGTTTCTTTGCTTTTTTCGGTTCTGGTGAAAGAAAGAATAGCAGAGTTTAAGGATGTCGGCTTATAAGAGTTGCGGGGGGATGATGTGTCAACAATGCAAACGGTTTTGAGTCTTTTGAATCTATTTTACTCAGAGGTTTGGTGATGAAGAGGATGACCAGGTTAAGGTTGAGGTTTGGAGGCTGTTCCTTGGTAAAGCGAAAGAGTACATCTGGTGAAAACCTAAAGATAGATTATAAATTATTAGTATAATACAGTATCCGATAAATTCGTTTTACGCACCTTTTAAGTTCAATACACTAATTATTACAAAATATATCAAGAATTATTGACGAAAACTTTTACATATTACTACTATCCTTCCCTTCTCAAAATAATTGTTCTGTTTAAATTTTTATTTTTAAAAATAAAATGTACTCCCTTAATCCAAAAATATAAAAAAAAAATAGTCACACACAAATTTCAAACCTCAACTTGAAATATTTACAAATCTCAAAATATAAAATGGACTATTTTTTCAGAACATAAGGTACTAAAATTAAAAATTTACACAGTGCAATTATAATACGCGGACATGAACATGCATCCGTGATTAAAATATTTGTTAGAGAGTTTTATTTTATAAAAGAAACCTTTCGGTTCAAAATTTGAATTAGCAATAGCAATAAATATGGGTACTAGATGTATAATATATTAAAAAAAAAATTAAGAGTAAAATTTTACTATTATTCTGGCGTTCCATGAATAAACTTTACCTCTATTATATTAGTCTTAATTATTTTGTAAATACCGTATACGCTTTTGCTACTTAATTGGTACTACTTAATAACAGGACTCACTCTTTTACTAGTCTACTATATGAACTTTTATATTATGCTACACTTTTTGAAGAGGTATGTAATATAATATATCCTCGAGTAAGGCTCTGTTTAATAATCACTTAATATAGTGACTTAATTTATTTAAATATTTAATGAAATTAAGTGTGTTTGATAATCGCTATTAAAAAGTCTTGATGAATTAAATTCTGAACTAATTAAGTATTTATAAATTAAGTGCGTTTGATAACTAAAATTTCATTATCTGAATTAATTAAATGCATCTAAATGTCCAGTTCAATTGTGAGCCAGAAAATAAGTGATAGGCCTACCACTTATCACTTATCACTTGATTTCTGTAATGACTCTTTTTTTTCTTTTTTTCTTTTTTTTTCCTTCGTCTTTATTTCGACGCTTATTTTTACATTATTTTAAAATTTTTATTTTCTTAAGATGAATTAATTAAGAGTGCTTAAAGTTGAATTTATATTATGAGTATAAAAAATCTCAAACTTTCAAACTCAAATTAAACTAATTTTAATACATGAAATTTGCTAAATAACAAGGTATACATATATATGTAATAATGTAAATTTAATTATATATTGATTATTTACCAAGTGTAATATCTACTTTCATTATATATACCAAAAACTTATTTTAAAATTATGATTATATTATTTAGAACAAAATATTAGTTATATTTCTATTTAAAAGAATTTTGTTTATAATTCAATTTTAATGATATTAAAATTTTAAATAACTTTCAAACCTGAGTATTTAGATTCAGTCTTCAGACATCAAATTCAGACGTTTTTATCAAATAATGTAAATTCAGTCTTCAGACTTCAGACTTCAGTATTAAGTGTTAAGTGTTCAGATTCAAGTTTCAGTGATTATCAAACGGGGCCTAACACTAGTGTGTTCTTTGATTTTTTACTCTCCAACCTCTCAATGTTCAAGTATATATATTTTTAAGAAAAACATGTATTTCTACAATTTTTTTCTTAGCAGTGGTAATATAGTTTGGCCTCAAATTTGCTGCCTCTTTGTGACGAACTCAAATGAAATTAACACAAATATCAAAATTTAATATAAATTAAATTTTTTTAAAAATGAGAATATTGTATAGAAATTATTTTTGTAATTCCGACATTGAACCTTCATTCCTTACCAAAAATGGAATGAAAAAACAATGATAATTGGCACTATTGAATATCGAAGAGGGTCCTGTTTAAAGTAAAAGCTGAATTTAAAGACAAAAGTAGCACGTACTAATGTGCAAATACCACTTAAAAAAAAAATATGCAAGAGAAGATGATGAGAATCATCATCACAACCAAAATCTGGCAGCATCTGCCACACCTCTGCTTTATATGTCTGCAAATAAAATGATCCATGTGCCATAATTAAGAGTCATCAGAATTCTTAATCTTCACTTAATCATTATTTTAACGTTAAACTGCTCACTCACTAATTTCTCCGAAACGCAGGCCTCCACGATTATAGTACTAAATGTGCACGCTTGAAGAAAGTGGGAAACTGAGAAATGGAGGGGAGGGTTGTAATAAACTTTGACTTAATGTAAATCAATTTAAAATTAACCCAATCACCATAGAGTATTATTTTACGTTTAGCGTTTTTACTTTAACTTGTATCGCAAAATCTGCATTCAGCCGTCCAAGAGATCACATTATTTGGGTCAGAAGAAAACACAATTAATCCATTAAAATTCATCCACTTTTGTTTCATGTACGTGAACGTATTAGGCTAGAACTACAGGGATGCCTAAAATATTACTCGCTCCGATTTCATATAAAACCATACAAGATATAAGAATTCAACGGGAAAAATAATATTCCCTCCGGTCATTAATATAGGGCATTTTGATTTTTCTTAGATTTCACATAATATGCATTTTTAATTGATAAAAAAATCTTAAAAATATTTCATAATAATCAAGAAAACACAACGAATATGAAAAATATATTTTTAATTTTTTTTATCAATTAAAAATATATAGTAAATGAAACATAGGATAAATCAAAATGTCCTATATTAAGGACCGAAGGGAATAACAAATGAAAAAAGAAACACAAACGGATAAATTTTGGGCCGCAGTTAAAATAATTTTAAAGTCAATTTAGCTGCTTATGCATTCTTGCTGTCAAGACAGTGCCGTCACAGTGGATTAAGTGGTTAAACAAACTTTAAGCAGCCATAGAGGACACTTGTCAAACCTATACATGTAGGTTGTAATTAAGTTATTAGTGGTAAATTATTTTTTCCCCGCAAAGAAAAAGATCGTTTAAATTAAATCAAAAGGAGCAGTAATCTTTGACGTGGCTATATTGATACGTATGAAAAATATATATACGATGTTGAAACATTTTTACGATAAGATCCGGCCATAATACACTCAGTCAACCTGTCAACTTCCTAATCGCGATTAAATGCCTGTTCTACAACAAACAGTGAGATGTGTGAGCTTGTTTCCACTTGGGATGCAGAAAAAAGACCAAAATCCTTTTCATCTGTTTACCTATAAAAATGAATAGATGATGATGATGTTTTCCCTGTTCGATCCTTTTTCTCTTTTTAACGAAGCCCCGCGTGTGTTTTTCATTATTCGACATGTTTTGCCAAATTTTTACATCATTTACGTCACTAGCCTCACCTAATATTCAGTAGTGAAAGGAACATAAACCCTAACGGCTTCATTTGGGGATCCAAGGCTTTCAAAGTTGATGAGTATGAATTCGCATTCTAATCATAATTCTCTCTGTCTCAAAATTACCGTCTAATTTTAAAATTTCACTTTTAATACAATTTGAACTCAAAATAAAAATTTTAAATTGACAATAGTTTCGGAACGGAAGAGTACAACTCATGACGAAAGATATTCGTTCTAATTTATAAGCAATACTCGCAATGTATTTCTACGTGTGTTTACAGCTCATGACGAAAACTACATACATTGTACTCGGCCTCCTCCAGCCTTAAATAAGCTACAAAATAAGATTACGAAATTTAGAAGAAAGTCAACATCATCACACCAAAGAAACGTTAAAAAGTATTATATATTCTCCTATGGTGTCGCAGGTGGAAGATCACAAATTAATTAAAGGTTTCATGGAATCAACCATGGTCAAATCCAAATCGGGTGGCCTGCTTCAACTGGTTGATCATATTGTACGTACGTACGTAAACAAATATCATGTTTGAAATTAGTGCACCCAAAATTATTTGGTCGACTGTATCACTTAATTAGGGAGTCATTAAGATTAAATTAATGCTAACACAATTCAATTAGCCCCTTCTCAGGACGCATGTAATTGCATCATTGACAATT